CGTGCCTCATCAGCGTCATCATCGATCTGTATTTGGGGGATTCTCGCAGTGTCTGAGGGGAAGGGGATGATGTGCGGCTCACAGTGAGGTGTCTTGGGGGCCGCGTAATTACTACAGCCGACTACCACGCCAGCATACGGAGTACTCTTGATTGAGAACAGGCAGGATTGAGTCCTGCCTTTTTGGACAGCCATGGGTTCCTCCCTCAATATCGCCAAGGTATGTTGATAATTACCGTTATTGTTGGGAATGAAATATTGTATTGTCACAACTGGACTTGTCTTCGTCTTGAACATTCCTAATAATAACAATGTCGATCTACATACTAATGAGCTCCTTCCCGCAAGACACTTTTCATCCCCGCCCTCATCTCGCTCGTCCTCTACGTGCTCCTGTCCTACTTGATCATCCCATTCTTCCGACGATACCGTCAACGCTACGCCCAGTATCTGCCGCTGCATACCATCTCCGCCCAAACGTCGACCATCCGCGAACGGGCCGCCGATGCCCTGATGCATTTCTTTCTTCCGTCAACATGGCGGCGAAGAGCTGGGATGAGTGATGACCATAACGACGCCGTCAGCATCTATGACGAAGAGGGCGAGAATATGGTGGGGATGGACATGGACCCTGCGCGGCGGGCCGCATTGGAGAGACGACGGAGTAGCGCGGGTGACAACCAGGTCCGCCTAAGCCGGGACCTGGAAGAGGGTTTCATGGATGACAGTGAGGAGGACGAAGAGGAAGGGGAAGGGAATCGAGGGCGATCGTCGCAGCCCCGGCGATGACGGAACCTTCAGACACATTTTTGAGGTTATTAGCGGTTGTTTCTATTCTGTGCACCAGCGTGGCGTTAGGGAAGGTCTAGACCTGGTTTGCATGTTTTATTTTTCTTCAGGCAGGTCAAATTGCATATATCGGCGCTGTCGCCATATAACTTGGAAGTGTCATCCCATTAGTTGATTGAAATATCAATCTTTTCGCAAACGAAGTGAATCTTATCGCAGCTGAACCAACGAGTAAAGCAGCGTTTGCCTTACTATCTCGGGGCGAGTATTCTGGGCTCCGTTGTGTCTGTTCTAAACATCAGGGTTTAACAACGAAGAAACATATAATATACAGACTATTCCCGGTGGAGGAGGGGGAAGAAGATAAGGCAGCATTTCAATTATATTTGTACAAAATATTCTTCATTCGCAACAGCCACATCACTGTTGCGAAACCCAGTATTTTCGTCTGCATGATCGAGATAGGTCGTTGGCACCTGTTGCCTCATCTGACTCCTTCCAGTGAATTCTACTACGTCGGAATCGACATGCTTAACAGCAGCCATGTTTTCGCCGTCTGGCGCACTCGTAAGAAAAGGATATTGTGCGGGCTCTGTAGATAGATATAATCTCACTTTGGTCACTTCAAGTTCAAGATAATGCAAGTTGGAGAACGATGAATCGTCTTGACTTACTGCGACTGACGCCCGGATGATCGTATCCAACAACACCGACAGACATGGCGTCTTGCTGAGGATAGTAGTGATCAAAGTCTAAGAGGTTTCCGTGATTGGTAGTCATTGGCGTATCGCTGCGAGTAGTGTAGGGTGTAGAGGCAAAGATCGTTGATGACCACTCTTCTAAATCAAGCCCCGAATGGAAGCAAGGAGGAGCTGATAGACATCTCTCATCGTAAGGCGGTTCGAGTTGCGGTTCAACACTACCCGTACTGAGTGGTAGGACACGATCCTGGCTTGTAGAAGGTGGTTCTTGTATCTGTCGACGAGACGGAAGTGGTGCCGGCATCTCCAAGCTGGTTTGGTCTATTCTAGAAGATGAGCCTTCCACGTGTGCATCACGGTCATTGTCACGGGTATTGCGCCTCTTGCTTATTTGTGTCAGCTGTCTGTCTCTAAGACAGTGTATGAGCAATCAGGTTCGTAATCGACGCAATCACTTTCATCAAATCCAGAGCAAATACCTGTTTTTCGCATCAAGTCCGGTTCGTCCTGGGAAGTAGGTATCGACAATCTGCTTCCAGGATCTTCCGTACTGCCTGATGGCAAGCAGGAGGCGGCGGTCCTAACGCGGACTTCGTATGAGTTATTCGTCCGAGAAAATGGTAAGATTGTAAGATCGCTTACCTCCTCCTGGGTCCATGGGCTGCGGATGATACTCGGATTCAAGGCGTCATTCCAGCGTTTGAAAGCACTCTGTCGGTGTCTCGAGTAAGCAGGTAACTCGATATGGCAAACTTCGCTGTGGGAGAGACAACGTACGGTCTCCATTCCTGGTGCCAACCACCTGTGCCACACGTGCCCAGCTGATATCCCCGTCAGCGCGCTAATCTTGACAGATGACATTTCTGCCGCAGAATCTTCCCTGCATCACTCACTGTTTCCCGTAACGGCGAATACCAGCCTTGAGCAGCTCGTCTTCAGCCGGCGACCAAGCCCCGAGGTTCATACTCGCTGCCACACGGTAATGCCAGCGCTTGCGACAATCCTTGTTATTGCGGCCGGGCAGATACGACGCAATGACCCGCCAGTCGACTTTGTCGTTCTCTGTGGAAGATGAGAGAGATCTGAATTAGCATCTAGTGCTTCACAAAGGATTCAATCAAGCAAACCGGTGAGAATGTTCCTACCGTACGCCTGGACAAGTGTCCTGAGAATGTTGTCTTCTTCTAGACTCCATAGCCTTCGGGACTTGCTCATGGTGTTGTCTGTTTCTACAGCTGATATCCGGTCTTAGCTGCGTGTTGTAACGGAGCTGTATCGATACAATTGAAGCGTGAAACCCAGGACAGCACCGTCCATGGCAGGAATCATCGATTATATACGAAATCATTGCTTCGGATGGACGTCATCTCAGGAAATAAAGAAATAAAGAGACGACGACACTGGCCGGGCGTGATTCCTACGAAAAAGGCGATTGGAATCCAATACAATGCCACGCGACGACTTTAAGTGCTTAGTGCATGTATGTGCACTGTCGCGTGTTTGACGGCAGAGCTGACCTCGTATGAGAACATGCTGGATGAATAGAACTCCGACTGGAAGCAGTTGAACAACCGGGCCATGGCCTCAACCAGATCAACGGGCAGCTGCAGGAGCGGACGACGAGGAATCAGCCCCCGCTGGCAGACTGTCGCCATTGGCAAGGAGGGCATAAGCAGCAATTAACAATCGATTTCATTGTCCGTGTGCATGTTAATGAAATCTTCTTCGAGCTGAAGGATGCGGCGAAAAGCATGATCACAGAGCTCAGAGGTCTCAATCGGCAAAGTGTATTTCCGCACTGTTTGCTATCAATCGACTTCATTTAAGGTTACGGAGTACTTCGTCGATCGGCGATTCGAATTAGGCTCTCTCGTCATCCCCGGTTGATCTACCACGTGTACTACAGACGTTCTGCGTGCTTCTGTCCACGGGACAATCAGATGTGTTTTCTGGTTCCGCTGGCAGTTCCATACGGACTACCTAGCGAAATAGAAGCCTCCTAAAAGATCTTGAGGGGTTTCTCCTGATAACAATGGGGAAAGAAAGCAGTTGTATCACTCAGTTAAGTGCATACTCCGTACCTTCTGGATAAGATAACATATTCAATGTATCAGATCCGAGATCAGGGTACAGACATTTATACATCATATCGCTCGGGCCACTGCGAGGTGGAGACTGGCCAATCCTGTTGGATCCAGCTGGCCGGGACCAATCAGCGGGCGTTCCAAACATGCAGTCCCTGACTATTGAACATGTCTGCAATCTGGTTGGTCAGTCATAAACAAACCGCCTTAGGATTGTTTGCATAAAGTTTGGATTTTAATAACATCGATTGCTCCTGCCTTGATAGATGAAGTAGCCATAAAAAACATCATCTTCTCTATATATACATGCAAAACTAACTGATCATCAAAATTGCCTTCGTTAACGCCGTGCTCATCGCGAAGGAATCACCAGGATATACATTTTTACCGCACACCCCCAATACTCCAGAGTATACAGGAGTTGCGGTATCAGAAGACATAGCAGAAATGCCTGTCTATGCTCCAATGGCATTCTTGACCCATTTCTCCAGTCCTCCCTTCGCAATGATCTCTTGCACATTCGGGGGAAGCTCTCCGACCCGGTGCGTCCATTTCGACCCGCCTTCGCCTTCCTGGACCTCAATGCGGCTGCGGCGCACATCCCAGGTCAGCGTCCATCCCGTTCGGCGGGTGAGCACCTTTTCTCCATCCTTGGCTGGGAAGGTCTCCCGCAGGCGGTGGATCAGTCGAGGAACCTCGAGTCCCATCAAGGCATTGTTGATGCTGTTCCGCGAGAAGATGTTGCCAAAACTGCCCGACACGACAAGCGGGATCTTCTTGGCAAGAATGGCGGTTGCAGCCTGCTCTCTCGAGCTGCCGCACCCAAAGTTGAATCCAGACACCAGAATATCGCCTTCCTTGGCGATGGAAGAGAAGGCCGGGTCGTAGTTCGACATGCAGACCTCGGCCATGGTCTCAACAGGCACATTGTCCTGGTACGTATACTTGCCGGGATAGATGCCATCCGTGTTGATATTGTCTGCATCGCAGAAGACAATCTCCCCGGAGATCCGCTCAGGGAACCCCGGATACACTTCCGTCAGTGCACCATCGTCCGCCTCGTCCTTTCCCTTGGCTTCTTGCGCTTCTGGGGAGAATCGCTGTTCGCCATCAGCGATCATCTCATCCAGCTGTCCGATGACTTTCTCAATAGCCTCCTCGGCAGTGATCATGCGATCCTCCTCCTTAATTCCGTCGCCTTCACCCCGGACAACACCGGACCAACCTTCTGGCTTCTGATACCAGCCGGGTCCGCTGATCTTCCCGTTCAGAGCGCTGGCTGCAACGACCTCCGGGCTTCCCAAGTACGCCTTGGCCTCGGTGCTGCCCATGCGGCCCTTGAAGTTGCGGTTGGACGCGCTGATGCCGACCTCGCCAGGCTCAAGGAGACCTGTCCCAAGTCCGATGCAGGGTCCGCAACCAGCGGGGAGCGCCTGAGCGCCGGCTTCGAGAAGAACCTGCCAGTCGCCGGCATCTTCCGCGGTCTGCTGCTCAGGCAGCGAAGCCGCCGCGATGTAGAATTTGACACCGTCGGCAATCTTTGGAATCTGGCCACCGTTCTTCTCGGCAGCGTCGCGGAAGACTTTTGCAGCAGCGGCGATGTCCGAGGCTCGAGAATTGGTACATGAGACCAGGTACGCCTTGTCCACCTTGATATTCTGGGCCTCCAATTCGTTCAGCGGCGTGGCTACTTTCACCGAGTTCGGTCCCGATACGTAGGGAGAAAGCGTGGAGAGATCCAAGAAAAGCTCCTTGGCGTATTTAGCACCCTTATCAGCGGTCAAAGGATTTGCAAACAGCTCGTCCAACCGCGGGTGGGTGAAGTGCTTGGCAGCAAGGGTCTTGTAGGGCCCGTCGGCCAGACCCATAGCGGCAGTCGTTGCCTTTCCTCTCAACCAGCCCTTCAACACGTTGTCAATGGGGAAGAGACCCGAAAGAGCGCCCCATTCGGTCGTCATGTTGGCGATGGTCAAGCGGTCGTCCACGGAAAGACTGCGCATGGTCTCCTCGGAACCGGTGAATTCAATGGCGTGGTTGAGAACGTCGTCCTTGTCAAACAGACCGCACAGGGCGACAATGACATCCTTTCCGGTCACACCCGGTGGCAGGACGCCGGTGAAAGTCACCTTCGCAACCGGGGGGATCTGCCACCACGTCTTGCCCGTAGCCCAGATACTAGCACCATCCGTCCGGACAATGGGCGTTCCCAGACAACCAACTCCTCCATACATGTTGGTGTGACTGTCGGAGGCGACAACCAACGTCCCGGGCCAGGCAAAACCCTCTTCGACCATGATCTGATGGCCAATGCCTCGTCCGGCGGGATAGAACTCGACACCGTGTTGCTTCGCGAACTCCTCGATCTGGCGGTACTTCTGCAGGTTCTTCTCGCTCTTGTTCTGGACATCGTGGTCGAGGGTCATGATGATCTGGTTGGGGTCATGCAGCTTCGAGGCGCCAATGGACATGAACTTCAGGGCCACGGGCCAGGAGTTGTCGTGGGTCATGCATCGGTACGGCGCAATGGTCACATAGTCACCGGAACGGACGAACTTGCCCTCAGGCAGGCCGACGGAGAATTTCTGGACGATCTTCTCGGTGAGGGTCTGGGGCATGGGCGGGTTCTTGAGGGAAGCCAGGTGCGCCGCAGCACTGGGGTTCTCGAGCTGGGTATGGAAGACATCCTGCGCGAGAAATCTCGACGAGGAAAAGGCGCGCAGCCGAACGGCAGCAAGCAGCGAACGCCGCAGGAGCGTCGCATGCCTGCTGTGACTGAATTGCATTGGCTTGGGCTATGTCTCGTTAGCAGATGAACTGACGGCAATTGTCTGTCTCGCTGAGACAACCACAACGACTCACTATCATTGTGTCTGGCAGGAAGACTGTTGGCCTCCTGTCTTGTCTTTTCCAATCCTGCCGACGAAAGATCCAGCAAATGAACGCGCTCGTAATTTGCATTAAATTTTCCGGGGAAGAACGAGCAAACGCGGCAAACGCGCCAAGAGCTCCGCGATCGGAGATTAGCCGGCCATCGGGTGCGTCTTCGGAGCTGCAAAGCATTCAAATATACGAGTATCGTCTTTTTTATTTGTTTTTCTGCAGCGTAGCATGTATAGGATCAATTGCATCCATATGTTGGCAATGTTCAATCTCCATTGTGGTGGCCCAGGTACAATACCCTTGCTGGAGTATTGACCTTGGAAGCAAGCCCGTACTCTATACGTAATACTACTGGCGTCCCAGCACGAATGCTCGAACAATGGCGTATTTCGCAAGGAAATAAAAACCAAAAATATGCAAACTCAACTCAATCACTGAATTAGCAATGGCTGAGAAATGAAACCTTACTTACTCGTACTTCGCATGCTGCTCTAATCTGCAATAGCTAAGCGTTTATACTTCGGTGACTCACCGGCGTGATCCCGGAACGGAAAAAATCCAGGCGTACAAAAAATAGAGGTCCGTACATACCTTGCAGGTGTTCTTTTATCTCCCACTCTCTTGTTTTCTTGCAATTGTTTGAGGACAGATTTTATATCTGTGCTCTTAGTCCAGTGAATATATCTGCCTTTCTTGTACTGTACATCCCCGCACTCCATATATCCTATATCCATCACCTGAAGACTGACCCCGCCAGAGCCCCGCGCCGTACTGTACATACACCTCCATTGCAATACCTAACACCTCAACAACCGCCACATCCATTGCAACAATCCCAGCATGCCTAGCAGGCAGGAGGTCGCCTACTTCGGCGCGGGCCCTGCCCCGCTGCCCACCTCCGTCATCGAAGCCGGCGCAAAGGCGTTCGTCAACTACAACGACAGCGGCCTGGGTCTCGCCGAGATCTCCCACCGGTCCCCGACCGCCAACCAGATCCTGGCCGACACGAAAGCGAGCCTGACGACCTTGCTTGATATCCCGGACAACTATGAGATCCTGTTCATGCAGGGCGGCGGCAGCGGGGAGTTTTCGGCCGTGGTGCAGAACTTAGTCAGCGTCTTTGTCGAGCGCCGCCGCCGGCGGGCCGAGGCGAACATCCTGAAGGCCAACCCGAACGAGGACCCGGCCCGCGTGGAGGAGCTCGTCTTGGAGCGGCTGAAGAAGGAGATCGACGAGGAGCTGAAGCTCGACTATATTGTAACCGGCTCGTGGTCCCTCAAGGCGTCGCAGGAGGCAGCGCGACTGGTCGGGCCCAAGTACGTCAACGTCGCCGTGGACGCGAGGAAGGCCAACGACGGCAAATTCGGCAAGATCCCGCCGGAGGAGACGTGGTCGCTCACGCCGACGAGGCGAGAAGGCGGCAAGGGCTCTGCTTTCGTGTATTTCTGCGACAATGAGACGGTCGATGGCGTCGAGTTCCCGGCGTTCCCCAAGGTCCTGGAACCTCAGGGAGAGGATGAGGAAGACGAGCGATTGGTGGTGGCAGACATGAGCTCCAACTTCCTCAGCAGGAAGGTGGACGTCAGAAAATATGCAGTGATCTTTGTACGTGGCTTCTTAGTCCTGTCTTGCTATGTACGGTGGTGCTTACTTGTATTCTACAGGCCGGTGCGCAGAAGAACGTCGGTGTAACGGGCATCACCATCGTGATCGTTCGAAAATCCCTTCTTCCACCGCAGACCGCCACGCCTCCAGCATCCTTACTCCAGAAACTGAACATCGGCGGCGTCCCGGGACCCATCGTGTTCGACTACGCCACGATCGCCAAGAACAACTCGCTCTACAACACGCTGCCCATCTTCAACCTGTGGGTCGCGGGCCAGGTCATGGCGGAGCTGGTCAACACCTTCGGCACGAAAAAGGTCAGCGGCCAGGAGGAGATCGCTGCCCGCAAGGCGCAGCTGATCTACGCCGCGCTCGACAAGTACCCGCACGTCTACCACGTCGTGCCGGACAAGAGCGTCCGGAGCCGGATGAACATCTGCTTCCGCGTCTACGGCGGCGATGCCGACAAGGAGAAGGAGTTCCTGGCCGGCGCTGAAAAGCGCCTGCTCCTGGGCCTCAAGGGTCACCGGAGCGTGGGCGGTATCCGAGCGAGCAATTACAACGCAGTGCCTCTGGAGAATGTCGAGAGGCTGGTCAAGTATCTGGAAGACTATGCCACTGGCCAGTACTAATAACAACTTCTCACAAGTTCATCTGATTTAATGCGCTTTTTTTTTGGCGTTTGGGTCCCACAGGAAAAGTGAATCTCAACAGGTATATCTTGGGTATTGAAGTCAACTCTACATGTACAAAAACATCGGAATCCCTTCAACCGGACTCCACCGCTATGCTATGCTATCATGATTTGAAGAATTCGATAAGACGGATAATGGTAATGATTCTCGCCTCATAGCTTCCACACAGTCCAGCCTTGGAGATCAAGTTCTTTGATGATCCCTTGAACTGGGCCCTGAAGCTGTCGACCCCCACCCCATATCTTGGGTCCGGCCATATAGCTTATGAATCCTTCTGGCCCGGAGACTAGAATCATCCTCTTCTGCGGGCTGCCTGAAGAAGAGACTGACTCAACGAAGTCACGGATATCCTTCTTACTGATGAAGCTGTTCTCCTCATCGACGAAATAATCAACAGTAAGCTGGCCAGGGTATTGTGATTTCAGGGTCTGCAGTTCCCGCACGACGGCACCCGTGGTAGCTGGAGCTGGCGACGTCGACGACGACGAGGGAGAGCTGGGTTTCGTGGAACCTCCAAACTTCCACCACGACGATTTCGTGGGTGCGTCGGTGCTGGTGTCGCTCACACCACCCAAGCAATCCTCTCTCTTCCTGCTAGCCCAAAGAATGTGCATCCGTGGTTTCCTGGTATCCGTGGTGCGTCTCAGAAGCGTATAAGCTGCTTGTAGAGCTGGGGCGATTCCTGTCCCACCGGCAATGAACAGAATATCCTGCACGTCAGAAGGGATCGGGCATTCCGTCTGTGGCCCTCGTATCTCGATCTCCGCTCCTATCTCAAGGCCGTGGAGGTAGCGGGATACTTCTCCATGAGGATCTCGCCGGATAAGAAACCGCAGTGACTCGTCCCCCTCGGATTGACTATCCCCACCATTCGATCCCTCCCCTACTGGAGGAAGAGGCGTGTAGTCTCTCCCAATCTGCAACTGGGGCTGTTTGAACATGACACTCCACACTCCCGTCTGCCATGCGGATTCGTACGTTTCCCGGTTGTGTCCCGGTCTGACGGGATCAAGTGTGAAAATGCTGTTCGTCGACGACACGGGCTGCCTGGAGACAAGCCTGTAGTGAGCAAAGGTTAGGGGATTTAGAGTCGTGTTTCCAGCATCTTGTTTCGATCGGATGTAGGCTCCAATTGCCCCCGCGGCCACAGTCACGACCGTGACGCGGAGCCAAGTGTGCTTCTTCAGCGATGCGCTGGCGGAGGAGCCATGGCGCCGCGGTGGGTGGGAGAGAGGGACAGACAACCCCCCAGCTCTTCTGCAAAATCGAAGAGGATGACCGCGCGACCACAGCCCCGGGCCAGGGATTCGCACTGTCATGGGTGGCAGGTCCGTGCCGAACAGAAGCAAAAGAATGACGCTGCGAGGCGAATTGCGGTTGAGGGTGGCCGGCGATGCTTGATTGGCAGGAGCGACGCTAGCCCCGTTAGTCGCCCGCGATCGTCGTCCACCGCCGTCATGAATATTATTATTCTCCCAGACTGCCGGCTCCTTGCTTGAATCCCCATTTAAACCAGAGACCTGCGAGTCTCTCGGGTTTATTTGTTCTATTCTCTTCTGCGGCCGTTACCCTTTGATTGATCCTCCTTGAACGCTGGCCTCTTCTCGCTTGTTTCCTGGGATGGCGTCCTCGATCTGCTGCACCTGTCGCTTCTAATTCCTCTTCGCCAAACAATGTCTCGAGTCGCCTTACCCGCAGAAAGGCCGCCCGCAGGCCATCCGCCTCGAGACTCGCTGGAGCTTGCGTCTCTCGCCTCGTCTTCGTCTCCTGAGTCGGTGGGTCGTTCGTCAATTGCCTCGTCTCGGTCCGGAGTCGCCTCGTCACGCAAGCTGTCGCTGGAGGCCGATGACCCTCTCTCGAACGCGAATGATGCACTGGAATCCGGTCGCCCGCGTTCTGGCCGTACATATTCCGTCTCCTCTGCATTCGACTTCGGAAGCAACTTGTTCCCACTTTCGCAGACCGCTGGCGGTTATGCGCCTCTCGGCGCTCCATCCCTGGTCTCGCTGGACCGTCATCACGGCCTAATCGATGGATCGTTGGAGAAGCATAAATCGCTAACATATCTGAATGGTCTCTCCCTTATTGTTGGTCTCATAATAGGCTCGGGAATCTTTTCGTCTCCGAGCCAGGTGAACGCAAACGCTGGATCAATTGGCGCATCGCTTATCGTGTGGGTCGTGGCTGGTCTCCTAGCATGGACCGGGGCAGCAAGCTACGCAGAGTTGGGAGGCGCAATCCCGCTCAACGGTGGGGCGCAGGTGTATCTCTCCAAGATCTTTGGAGAACTCATGGGATTTCTCTTCGCCTGGTGTGCTGTGTTTGTGCTGAAACCCGGTTCTGCGGCGATCATCTCCATTATCTTTGGAGAGTACGTCGTGCGAGCAGTCGTTGGGGCCGACGTGGAGCTGGTCAATCCATGGATCAACAAGGGCGTCGGTCTTCTGGGGCTCTTCATCGTGACCTTCCTAAACTGTGTGTCCACGAAGTTGGGGACCCGTATTGGAGACATCTTCATGTTCTTCAAGTTCATTGCGCTGCTCGGGGTCACGGTGACAGGAATTGTGGTCGCCGCCACTGGGCTTTCTTCCAAGGGGAAAGCGAGTCAGGATTGGAAAAATATGGGCTGGTTCGAGGGTACGAGCACCGATATTTCCGGCTGGGCTGTGGCCTTGTACGCGGGGTTGTGGGCGTTTGATGGCTGGGATAACGTATGTTACCCTCCCGTTTTCCATGCGGGGTGTTGTCTTCTAACTACTAGGGCAGACCAACTATGTTACTGGCGAATTCAAGAATGCGAATCGAGATCTTCCTCGGGTCATTCACACCGCAATGCCACTCGTCATAGTTTGCTACCTACTGGCCAACGTCTCGTATTTCTTTGTCCTCCCTCTCTCGACTATCGAGAAGAGCAACACGGTAGCGGTTCAGTTCGGCGCAAAGGTGTTTGGACCCGTTGGTGCTCTCATCCTGGCCATCGTGGTCTCTGCCAGCTGTTTTGGCGCATTAAATGCCACGATATTTACCAGTGGAAGGCTGGTCTATGTCGCTGGAAAGGAGGGGTATTTGCCCTCGATGTTTGGGAATATTGGATTTGGGAAATCCGACAGCACGACTGGTAGTCGGTTGCAGCATCGTTCTTGGTTCCGCAAGATGCTTTCACGTTTGGTTGGAGATGATATTGGGATCGGATACACGCCCATCAATGCTATGCTGTTTAACGCTGTTCTTGCCGCGGCCTACGTTGTTGTTGGGGAGTTTGGAACCCTAGTCACGTTCTACGGAGTTGCGGGCTACACATTCTACTTTCTCACCGTTTTGGGGCTGATCGTCCTGAGAATCCGTGAGCCTCATTTGGAACGGCCATACCGAACTTGGATTACGACGCCTATCATTTTCTGTTGTGTCAGCTTGTTCCTGCTCAGCCGCGCGGTTATTGCGGAGCCTCTCCAAACCCTGATCGTCGTTGGGTTTGCGGCGGCTGGAATTCCGGTATATTTCTGGCGTATCTATCAGCGAGACGGCAGGACCGATCTTTCTTTGCTGAAATTCTGGAGACGACAGTAAAGCGGAGCCAAAGAATGTTGCTTACGAAAGAACTCTTCTTCATTCCTGCTCGTGCTTTTTTTGGGGGTGATTCGAAGTCACGTACATAATTGATACCCTATGCATATGCGGAGCTGGACCGAGGGATCGGAGCTGGTGACTTTGATGCATTGCGATGGCCACCTAGACAATTGGTGTTATGGCGCATTCAGAGATGTCGATGCATGCCACCGGTATTAGCACAAATATGCATTATATAGTTAGCAATATTAATGATAATCCTATTCATCTGTATTTGCGTTTCCGAAAGGTAGTCTTTGTTGAATACTCAGAAGTTCCTGAGAGGACAAATTCTTTTTTTTCATTGCAATGCGCTCCATAATAGATGAATTCTAAAAAGTCTGATATTGTTGAATAAGCTTGTAAGAGCTTTTCATCTTATAAATATGGACTGTACATCAATTGAATTCACCCATTCAGGTGATCGCCCAGACATGCACGGACCACTGCTTGAATGGGCCGCGGGATTGGCGCGGACGCGTCCATCAATCCGATTAATTAATTTCGCGTTCCAACGAACACCGCTGTTTGCTTGACAGCAAAGACACAACACAGCCTGCTCTTTTCTTATTGTCTGTCAAGCTCAATTAGATTCAGCCTAGACAAAATGGTGCAGGCTGAGTCTTCTGCGGCTGCTGCGCGCAATGGCCCACAAGCCAACACCGCAGGAGCGCCTCCCGACTACGAGTTGCCCTGGTAAGTCCGATTGTTATTGTCTCGAGTTTTACACGGCTATCAGAGACTGATGAAATCGCGGTCTTAGGGTTGAGAAGTATCGTCCTGTGTTTTTAGACGATATCGTTGGAAACACGGAAACGGTGGAACGACTGAAAATCATCGCCAAGGATGGCAACATGCCTCACCTTATCATCTCCGGCATGCCTGGTATCGGAAAGACGACGTCCATATTGTGTCTGGCGAGACAATTGCTGGGCGATGCGTACAAGGAGGCCGTTTTGGAGCTGAACGCGAGTGACGAACGAGGTGCGTCTTACGCCTTGTCTGGGTGTGTTGCGGGAACGGAGTTGGCTAATTCTTGCATGGGGATTAGGTATCGATGTGGTTCGCAGTCGAATAAAGGGGTTTGCTCAGAAAAAGGTCACACTGCCCCCGGGTCGACACAAGATTATAATCCTGGATGAGGCGGATAGGTGAGTGTGAATTTATGTAGTAACTACTGTCGCGGCTGCGCTGATAGCATTCCAGCATGACCCCCGGCGCTCAGCAAGCTCTGCGTCGTACGATGGAAATCTACTCTTCCACCACCCGATTCGCCTTCGCGTGCAACCAATCGAATAAGATTATTGAGCCCCTGCAGTCGCGATGTGCCATCCTCCGTTACGCTCGGTTGACCGATGCGCAAATCGTCAAACGGCTAACGCAGATCTGCGAGGCGGAGAAAGTGCAGTACTCGGAAGACGGGATCGCAGCGCTGGTTTTTAGCGCAGAAGGCGACATGCGACAGGCCATCAACAATCTCCAGAGTACGTGGGCCGGCTTTGGGTTTGTCAGTGGAGATAATGTCTTCCGGGTGGTGGACAGCCCGCATCCGATCAAGGTGCAAGCCATGATCAAGGCCTGTTGGGAGGGCAAGGTTGATGCTGCTCTAGATATACTGAATGAGCTCTGGTATGTCGATGCCGGCCTTCTTTGCCAGTTCTGAGTAAATGCTGATTGCTATCTCACAGGAACCTGGGCTACTCAGCACATGATATCATCAACACGATGTTCCGTGTGACAAAGACCATTCCCACCCTGTCGGAGCACTCCAAGCTCGAGTTCATCAAGGAGATCGGGTTCACCCATATGCGCATCCTGGACGGGGTGCAGAGCCTGCTGCAGCTGAGCGGTTGTGTCGCGAAGCTATGCAAGATCAATATGAAGCCTGAACTCTTTGAGCCTCCCAGATCATAGGCAACCCCTATTTATATCTTCTCTGTTTGCAAATTGCATTGTGTTGGTGTCTGGCGTTTGCATTGGGTTACAATTTACTGTGATAGGACATGGTTTTATTGCGGAGTTACATCGCGGGAAGAGCTGTATACAGAATTGAATGTCCTCCAAAAAACTCATATCTTGTTCATCCTCTGTCCGGAATAGTTTTATGGAAATGCTATCCTAGCTGCAGCTCTGCATGTGGGGGTCACAGTCATAAGTTTCGTTTATTAAATGATTGTATTTAGGCCAGATATTGGCCATATTTAAGCAGATTGCCATTGTTACCTGTGTCGATCGCTGTCGATCGCCGTCTCACGTGCATCGCGGGTCCTGAAACGAAACAGTAATTTCATTTAAGATAATTCTTCAGGTGGCCTTTCAATCAAATTCATCAATTGTCTATGGAGAGTCGCTTCTCTCGTCAGCATGTTTCATCAATTTCTCTAGATTCTTTTTCACGCGCTCCCTAGTCGGTTGTGGTCATAAACCAACATGATTTCCACGCCTCTACTCTCACCATCATCATCATTATCATCATTGCAAACAAACAAAGCATGGCTCCTCCTCTTGCCAGCTCTTGCAATGTCAGCTGTCGCAGTCGACACCAGCTGGCACCCTCCCAGCTCGACGACTGGCATCAACAACCTGGATGAAGTCCTCGACGGCGACGGCGTGTTCGGCTTCATCTTCGATTCGTCCCATACTCCGACCGAGCTGTATGGGCGGTATAATTACTGCAATATGCCGCATGTGCGCCGGACGGAGTATCGGCCGGCGCCGGAGGGGTATGAGCTTGTTTATGTGGAGGTTGTAAGTAAATAGAATGTTTCTCGTTACTTAGGTTTGTCTGCTTTCGATTACTCACTTTCTTAGATCCATCGCCATCACAAGAGAACCCCCAACCAAGCCAATACCTTTCCCGTCGAAGGGTACTCTTGGGACTGTGATGACACGAAACGGTATTACTATGGCCAGCCGATCCCAGGCCATTCCAGTGCCACCACGTTCTGGCAGGTCGATGAGGCCCCTTTGAACCCGTTCACCGTCAGCGGTTTCAACGGCACCTGCTCGTTTCCCCAGATCACGGACGGGGGGCTGGAGGATTCCTGGCAGCACGGCCGAGACCTGTTCGAGGTCTACCACGACCTTCTGGGTTTCCTCCCGGACAATTTCGACGACGCAAGAGTTCAGTTCCGCGTCACGAATAATGGAATCACCAGCCAAGTGGCTGGGATGGTGATCAATGGGATGTATAAGTGGCAGCAAAACGTCCCTCTTCTCGTCCAGGTTTGTCTTTTCGTCGGGTTCTTTGTGATAGGAGCTCTCTTCTGACAGATATAAACAGAGAGATTCAATTGATTCTCTCGACCCGGCGTATTCCTGTCCCGCAGGACAGGCCATGTTTCGCACAATAACTGACGGCCAGACGGAGTCGCCGTGGAAATCGCATCTTACTCGCAGTCAGTTGCTCTTTGACGCCCTTGATGCCATCTCCGGCGTGCCGTCAGACGCGACAGACTGGCATGAGAGTTACGACCATTATTTCGACAACCTGGCTTCTCGACTCTGTCATGGGAAACCCCTTCCCTGTAAGGTGGACGATCCCAGTACATGTATCGACCCCGAGCAAGCCGATGCCGTCTTCCGCCTCGGCCAATTTGAGTATTCCTACATGTACCGGGACGCGCCCGCCTCTCTGGCTGCCAGCTCCGCTATATTCGGGGTATGGATCGGCGAGCTGGCACAGCATATACGGGAGAAGACGACGAGAGACGGCAACGGGCGACCGTCTCCGGTCATCTATCGACACAATATCGCCCATGACGGCAGCCTGGCCAAACTGCTCTCCATCCTGCAGATCGACGAGATGGTCTGGCCGGGAATGGGCGCGGAGGTCGTCTTTGAGCTGTACTAGAAGAAGGACAATGCGGGAGAAAAAGAGTTTGCCGTCCGCGTCCTCTGGGGTGGCCAGGTGATGACGAGCTCCAACCCTGATCTGGGAAAGATGGATATGATCCCAGTCAGAACTCTCTTGGAGTATTTTGATGCGTTGGTTGGGCCGCAAGCAGCGAACGTGCCTGGTCTCTGCCATGCAGAGCAGTAGTTAGACGAGTGTAATTTTCGTATATACATGGTGTGAACTGAGGATGTAATTGCACAGTTAGCATCATTGCCAGTAACCCTAAAGACTATCTGTCGCACACATTCAACAATACTTCCCACAAACTAGTAGTATAGTATACGTATAGATCTCATTGATCTTGAAAACAATCTTCTCGACCAGTGAATACAATCACCATCATCATGTCGGCAAGATAAAGGTATGAATTATTCCCTACCTAAATGTCATGCTGTAGGACTTGTAACCGCACAGACCACATCATACCTACCTAACCCAGCAGATCTGTACAGACAAGTGCATGGCATTGCATTGCATTGCATTGCAAGATAATAGGCTAGATTGCAGAAGTATGCACGCCATGACTGACCCACGGTTAGGAATAACTCGGTAATTATAACCTAGAAAATCGGTGTCATGCCATGCCATGGTAAGCCCTAATAACCACCTACGGTCTACCTAGCTAAGTCTAGATAAGTAACTCGGGAAGGGATTAAGCAGAAAAACAAAAAATTCTCAATTCAAGTCAAGTCACCAGGGCACTCACTGACCAGAATTTAGTATAAATAAAATATTGTATCTATGAACAGAACAGAGAGAGAACATGAAACAAAAGCGGAGAAGTTACTTCTTGGCTGAGTAACATCTTGCCTATATATCTATAATGCTTTTTTCTTCTTTAAGGGAAAAAAAAAGATAGTGCTATGTATACTTAGCTAGGTAGGCAGTAGATAGCGGCTCACATTTTTTTTTTACATTTTTTTTAACTCTATCCTCATTTCAATTTCAGTTTAGGTTCATTTTTTTAGTATTATTATCTCTAGTTTTGGTTTTAGTCTCATGTCTGTGTCAATATTTTGTTTGGGGGGAGGGTGTGAAACGCAACCTGAGACGCAACTCGTAAAAGGGACGGGCCATTGATAAAACTCATGATTGTACTGTACATGCATACATCCTCGAAAAGCTCGGATTATGAAATGCAAGTTACATATTAATGTAATAATTATAGACGATAGTATGTATGTATGTGTAGTACAAACAATATATATGATAAGGTACACGTATTCTAACTAGCTTCGAATGCCTGATTTAGAAACATAGCCAGTCTCGTCAGGAGGAAACAAACTGTCTGCATGTCCAAATTCATGCAATTGCCAAGATATACTATCTATATCTATATCTATATATACGTACGTATGTGTATACGTACTACCGCAGGTATATACGTCGCCGCTCGAGACGAAGCAATCCCAACCCTAACCCGTTTCTGCTGCGTTTCATATCGACCGATCCCTCCTCATCAACCAACCCATCTGCCTCCTACTTACCCATTTTTGATCTCTAGTCTCTCTGCTGCCCTCTTACTGCCAAGCCGTGTCACATATGTATTGTATGGCTTGGCAGGTCGATCGCAACTTGCGTGTGCGGATTGCGTGTACTACAGAGTATAGAGTATGGTACGGAGTAATAGAGCTGAGGTAGATAGGTCAACGCGATTGCTCGATAGTCTACGACAGACACAGCCACGGTTATATCTTCTATATCTGTATAGCCGTTTCTTTCTTTCCTTCTCTTCTCTTTTCTGTTTCCTCTCATAGCTGTTGTTTATTATCTTTTTGTTTTTCACGACTTCTGATTTTTGTTTCTTGAACCCGTTCCCTTTTCTTGCTTTTTTCCTTTTTTTAATTCTTCTTCTGTATTGCCCTTCTTTAAAAGAGAACCTGTCTGAGCTGGCCTCATGACAGCATGACCATGACCACAGCCATGATGAATATGAACATGAATGTCTATCTTCGTCTGCACCCTCTGGTCATCCTATCTGGACTGGCTGCTGCAGCGCATGACCACAGCCAGAGTCAAACCCAAAGCCAAACGACAGGCGGCGGCGGCAATCAAGACAATGACAATGATCAGGCCGGTAATGGTGGTGGTGGCGGCGGGCAGGCTGGTCCAAACATCAGCGCTCAACTCCCCTATATCGTCCTGCTCAGTCTGGGCAGCCTGGTTGCCATCGTCGCCATCTGCCATCTGGCGTCCCGTGTCGCGGCGCATATCCGGAAGCTAGCCTGTCTCAACAACGAGACGCAGCGCTCCTTCGTCCAGCCGAATCCGACCCTGGCCCTGGTGAAGGAGCATCTCGTCTACGCGCCGCTGCTGCGGACCCGCCACAACAATGAGTTCAAGCTCGGCGGGTCTATCAACATGGGCACTGTCCCCGGCAGACTCCCGACCCTGATCATCTGCGGACTGTTCGCGATGAATCTGGCGCTCTTGCTGGTCGATATCCCCTTTTCGGATCCAGAGCAGGAAGTCGCCGGCATGCTGGTCGGCAGAGCAGGCACTCTGACCGTCATCAATCTCTTCCCCCTCGATCTTCATCGCTGGGCGCAATAATATCCTCATCAAGCTGCTGGGCGTCTCGTTCGATACCTTCAATCTGTTCCATCGCTGGCTGGCGAGGATCGTGGTCCTCGAGGCAATCACCCATGCTCTCTCTTATATTATCCCCACGGTACAGAAGGGTAAGTTCTCCTTATGCAGCAGAATCAGGCTTTCTGTATGATGACGACTCCCTGCAGGAGGCTTCGCAGCGTTCCAAAAGTCAGTTCAAGGAAGCACCCACATTTTGACCGGGCTGGTGGTAAGTCTCTTCCAGGACTGACCAACATGTGTTAATCGATGAATAACACGATTCGAACCTGTTCAGACAGTCATCATGTTCGTTACCCTCATGCTGCATTCGTTTTCCGCCCTCCGGCACGCCTTTTACGAAACGTTTCTGCACCTGCATATCCTCCTCGTGGTCGTCGCGCTGGTCGCCGTCTGGTACCATTTGGACGGATATCCGCAGCAGGGCTGGATTGTTGCCGCGATCGGTACGTGGATCGGAGAGGTGAGTATACAACATCCTCAAATGCATTTCTATTGCTGATCGTTGAAGCGAGTCACCCGTCTGGTCATCCTGACGTTCCGAAACATTGGCAACGGAGGAACGACAGCTCTCGTCGAGGCTTTGCCTGGCGACACGCTCCGTGTTTCCCTGAGGATGGCCCGTCCCTGGAAATTCCGCCCGGGCCAGCACCTCTACCTGTATGTGCCGTCGGTTGGCCTGTGGACCTCGCACCCGTTCAGCGTCGCATGGAGCGAGGGACAGGAGACTCTCAGCGAGGATAAGGGCATCGTCATGACCCGCCAGGACCTGCTCGCCACGACGACGCTATCCCTCCTCATCCGGCGCAAGAAGGGCTTCACCGACCGGCTATACAAACGCGCGGCGGGCAGCACCTTTGGCCGCGTGTCGCTGAAGGCATTCGCCGAGGGCCCCTACGGGGGCTTGCACAGCCTCGATTCGTACGGCACGGTCCTGCTCTTCGCCGGCGGCGTGGGCATCACGCACCAGGTCCCCTTCGTGCGACACCTGGTGGCAGGCTTTGCGAACGGCACAGTGGCAACGCGACGACTGGCACTCATCTGGACGGTGCAATCACTCGACCATCTGGAATGGATCCGGCCGTGGATGAAGACGATCGTCGAGATGAGCCGGTGCGAGGAGATCCTCCGCGTGCAGATCTTCATCACCAGGGCTCGCGACGCGGACGAAATCCCCGACAATCGTCCAGGCGCGATCATCACCATGTCCGCCGGCCGGCCGCCCATCGACACGCTGATCGCGTCCGAGGCCAGTCAGCAGGTGGGCGCGATGGTCGTCGTGGTCTGCGGCGCGGGCAGCCTGGGCGACGACGTGCGACGCGTGTGCCGCCAGAGACAGAACGCCAGCCACATCGACTATATGGAAGAGAGTTTCACGTGGTAGTCGTATCGTCGTAGGATAGATTCGATTTCGTAGATGACATGACACTCGTTTGAAATGACAGAGTTCATTCTTTATCCAACTGTATGTACTTTGACGGAGGGAGAGGGTGTTGAAGCGGGAGGCGAACAAATAAATAAATAAATCCACTCACTCAGCTAGCTAGCGAGGTACTTACTTAGAATTCGTCACTCCGATATATCAATTATCGCTCGTTTTATCATCTGATGAGTGGAATTGAGTGATATTACATCGTGCTTATGACTCATGCCTACATTTTAAGACGAGTTGATTGTATTCTTAAGACTAGTTCATTGTTTTCAGGAACGCTCTGTTGTGTTATAACTTATTTCATTTCTTATGCTATGCTATATCTCCCGGGTATGTACATGACTCAGGCCCATGTTATTTGATATCTAGCAGACCGCAATTTATTGCGTAGTCCGGGCTCTTGTCGGCGACAAGTGCTTACATCTTGTCGCGCTGGCCGTAAGAGCGGGTGACGTACTTGCCCTTGTGGACGATGAGGTCCTGAGGGCGGTAGTCCTCGCGGCCGGAGAAGTAGCTCTCCAGGATGGCCTTGGTACCCTGAGCGTAGCGGATCTGGGCGTCGATCGAGGTACCGGACATGTGAGGCACCATGGCGTTGCCACCGCCCCACGGGTGCTGGACGTAGCGCAGCGGGTGGTCCTTGGGAGCAGGCTGAGGGAACCAGACGTCACCACCGTAGCCGCGCAGGTGGCCGCTCTTGACGGCCTCGGCGACATCCTCCTTGACGACGATGGCACCACGGGCGGTGTTGACGAGCCAAGCGCCTGTAGACTTGGATTAGCCCGGCCGGTTCAGACCAAGACGCAATCATCATACTCACCCTTCTTCATCTTGGAGATCAGGTCCTTGTTGAACAGACCACGGGTCTTCTCGTGGAGAGGGCAGTTGATGGTGACAATGTCACACTGAGCAAGCATCTCCTCGAGGTTCTCGACACGGCGGCAGCCAATCTCCTTCTCAACCTCGGGGCTCAGAGGCTGGTAGTCGTAGTACAGGAGCTCCTTGCACTCGAAGGGCTTCAGACGGCGCAGCACACGCTCACCGATACGGCCGACGGCGACGGTACCGACGACCTTGCCCTCGAGGTCGTACTCGTTCTTGGCGACAGCGGCAACGTCCCACTCGCCGCGGACAATCTGCTCGTGGGCAGGGACGAAGTTGCGGACGAGGGCCAGGATGGTCAGGACGACCTGCTCGGCGACGGAGGTCACGTTGCAGCCAGTGACCTCAGCGACGGTGATACCGCCGTTGGTCTTGTTGGCAGCGTTCAGGTCAACGTGGTCAGAGCCAACACCGGCGGTGACGGCGAGCTTGAGCTTCTTGGCCTTGGCCAGACGCTCCGCAGTCAGGTATCCGGGGTGGAAGCTAATGGCATCGATTAGCGCTGCCAATCGGAAGCTCGGGAACGGACCACTTACGGAGTGGTAATGATGACTTCGGCATCGACCAGCTCCCGCTCGAAGACGGAGTCAGGACCGTCCTTGTCGGAGGTGGTGACGACAGTGTGGCCCTGGTCCTCGAGCCACTTGCGCAGGCCGAGCTCGTTCTCGGTGGTACCGAGCAGGCCGGGCTGCTGCTTGGCGTGTTCACCGCCCTGTGTTGTCGTCAGCGATCGAAACCCCAGAGAAATGCCTGCTGGAGACTGGGGTATGGAAGACTTACGTCATAGAGGACCATCAACACTTTACCCTGTCGGTTGGCAGTCGCGGTTAGCGTACGCAGTCCAGTGAATGGAGATGAGCATGGCCCAGGCGTGCGCCTGAGGCCAGCACGCGCGGAGGAGAGGAGGGAGCTGCCAGCAGGGCGCTGGAGCTGAGAAAGAGCACGGAGAAATACCATCTTGAATGATGTGACTCAAGGACAAGGCCTGAGAATCAAAAGTTCAAGTACGTCGGGAGATCGAAGCGGTTTAAATATCCGGATCGGCTGTAAGCAGCAGTCAGTCAGCGTGAGGTCATACCAATGACGGGGAGTGTCTTGCATGCAGCTGGCAGCAGCTAGGTTGCGGGCGAGCTTGTCCAGACGCGGAGGATCCTCCGATCAATGCGGGGAAAGCACCAGCCTGGGAAGGACAGTGCAGTGCCCGCGCAACATGGCTGCGTTCCAGCCAGAGGCTAGCAACCGAAACATAACACAAGTGCGGCAGGGGGCCAAGCTATGTGGCATGGCATGTCACATACCAGATTACCTCAACCGAGATAGCGTGCAGTAGAGCGTAGATGAGAAGAGGATGATATGAGAGTGATTGACACTGGTGAACGAAGAGAGAAAGACCAGCTGCAGGAGCAGAGGGAACGCCGTTATATATACCCCTCCAGGGCGACCCAATTCCCACTTCTCAACCTGCTGAAAACAGGCCTGCGCGGTTAATGGGCAATGATGTTACCCCATCGAGAAAGCGTACAACAGCCCCACCATCGATGATGGCTCGACACAGGCAGGCCTTCGTAGGCTGGCAGGGAAGGCGCCGGCTGTCGAGGCTCCGCAGCAGGGAGAGGGGCTCGAGGATGATTGTCATCATCCTGTCCCACTGACATACAACAGCCTCTCGCTGCAACCCGCCAAGGACGGGAAAACGGAAGGGCCTGACTCTCCGCACCGCGATATCCTGATGGCCGTCGTTCCGCCTGCTCCGTGACCGCAGTCGATCCTATCATCGAACCGAGCCACAGGGCGTCTAGGCCGCATCCGATATAGCACGAGTCGCCTTCCAGCTTCCAGCTCAGGAAGTCAGATCTGTCAAATCAGTCGCTCGGGAAGCCGAGGTGCAGTCGAGGCCCAATGACAATGGCTGCGGGCGTCTATCCAGACGAATGCGGGGTCACCGGGCTCCTCCAATTATCAGTAATGACGCCGACCATGGAGGGGGGCAGCCTCTCTGCAGCGGCAGATCGAGCAACCACGCTGCCAATGGGCTCGTCCAGCCACAGTAGTCGTTACCTAAGTCGTCTGCAGGGTCTGCAACTCGTGATGTGTAGACACACGACGTCTGCATGCTGCTGCAGCATCGCCGCAATCGGCGCTCTTGTCACGTGACCTGTCGTATACAGCAAACAGCTCTCCTCACGCTAAGCCGCATTGGATCGGTCTCCAAGCCCCGCCAATGAGGGGAAAGCTGACATAATGAGGGGGGCACGCACGCAGCCGTCCTGGCGCTCGAGTCTGCGAGTCACCACTCGTGGCGGTGTATCGTCGAGCATCCGTCGGTGCCGTCAGCATTCCGCAAGCAGAAGAGTATAGAAACTGCGTCATGGACCTGTCTATCGTGTGGGCCTTGATTCAGGAACGCGCTGCAGTCTAGGAGTCATCATTAGTCATCATCAGGGCGCTTGGCGCCACTCCGAAATTCGCCCGGAATTCCCCCTGTCCAGTACGTGGACGGTAGCATCCGAGTACCCTGAGGGGCGTATCCGCTCTTCCGCCACTACTGACGTATGCGAGGGGAACGTCGACCTTCTCCAACAATAATAACCGTCCCGTGCAGTACTTATTGGAAGCGTACAATTTCCAAGAATAGACATCCCATCCCGGCTCCGTTCGGCACCATTCGGCGAGCACTCTTTCAAAAAGGAAACATCATCACCACCGCCGATTCTGATCTCAACGAGTTGGGAATTGCTATCAACGCGTGCTGTGTCAGATTCCTGAACCGTCGCCACAATCGCGGTGAAGGAGCGGTGAAGGTGATTATTCGTAGCGCAAGCGTCTGTTGCGACTATCCTCTGAACAGGAATTGCTTCATCGTCGATTTTGGAATCGATTCGCGAAAACGATGGAATCTTGCCGATATGCCGGGCGACCATATATGTCGAATAGCTCCGAGAGCTGCGATCGGGCGTTTACATGTCTGAGGCGTCGTTTGCGACGTGGCCAGCTGGATCAGAATTTCTCTATGTCTTGGAATCTGCTTCTTTGATTATCGCACAGCATCAATGACAAGTGCTGGATTGACAAGTGTCGCTAAAGGTCGCTGCGCTGTCGCATTGTCTCACGGACATTCCCCTGAGATGGCTCCCTAGACCGCGAGACATGTCAGGGAACAGAGCGGGATCTTGACAGGCGATACGGGCTATCTTCAGCACATGTACTGATGATTCAACTTTGCCGCAAGAGGAATACTCACGACGAACCTTTGTGCCAAGCTTGCAGACGATGATACGCATGATCTGGCAGTGATTGGCCAGGTCTGGAAGCTGGTCTATTCGAGATTGAAACGACGGCGAACTCGACGCGCGCTGTGTGGTCTTGAACGCGTCTGTCAGCTCGACTTGGCGCAGGAAGACGACTACTCTTCGGAATTATCGAAGAAAATGACTGGAATGGCACGAGAAGGACGAAGAGCTAAGTCGAAGAAGACTACTGCGTCCACACTAAGAGACACGGGAAGGCGCGATCTACGTTGTTCACACGTGGCGGTTGAGTCGATCACCTGATACAACCACCAACACTGATCCCTTTCATACTGACCAGGTTAACGCTTATATGGCTTAGAGGAACTCAATTGGACTAATCCAGTACTCTATAAAATGCCTACCTAGGTGAGACTACTAGTCAAACATACTAATGTCGTTTATCAAGCCAGTCGACTGTCAACCCCTCCATGGTACTTTCATACGTTGCACACATACTCGAATTGACGAGAGAAAATACCAACACCACTGCCTCCACGAGAATTGCCCCAGGGATGACTTACAATGGTGCCAGAGAGATGGCAGCTCTGCTCGGATGCCGACATCTGAATAGAGAGCTCAATTTCGCGCGACCGTCTCCTTCAGAGCCTCTGATCTGCCTTTGTGGCAATCGAGATGTCACCACCTATACCCTTGACACACCCACCCAAGCAACATTGTCAACATCTATACTATGTTGAACATAGCGGTCCAGATGAGATGGTTGAATGATAATCAGATTGCGCAACGTAGCGAAAACTATCCCAGTGCGGGGTGCGGGCGGCTAGTCAGACAAAGCGGGGGAGGTCAAAAGTTTCTTATAAATCAAAACACCATTTTAGCCGATGCAAAACTCAAATGACTTTATTATTAGAATAGTGTGATTTGTCACTAATCTTACTAACATATTATATAATTTAAGTTGGGCTCTAAAATTTAGTTGACAGAAACGATGAAAACGATCTAGATACATGTACTGTACTGTACTCTTTCGGCTAAGATGAAGGAAACCTGCGTAGTTGACAAGACCTTGGTCAATTAGAGAAGATCAAAATAACGAGAAAAAAAAATTATAGGCCAAATACTAGCCAAAAATTCAATGTTTGGGTGGGTTGGTCGATATGATTTCATGCCCTTGGTACAGGTGAGATCGTCAGATGCGTGTACTCTCAAAATTTGTACAGAAAAACTGTTCTAGGATATCATATTAATAAATAAAGAATATTTCAATATTACTAATTTTTCCGAAAACTAGAGAAAAAAATAGTGCCGTACATTATATAAGTAAATGGTCGTTGATTGAAGGAGTAATGTAGAGAAAATATATATTTTTATACAATATATATATAAAATCAGGGATCCTTATTAGGATCAATTTAGTATTAAAAATTCTTGAATCACTACATACCAAGAATAGTACTTCAATTCTTTTCCATATAACAGATGATGGATCTATCTTCTCAACGTGACCACGGAGATACTTTACAATTATTCCATTCCTTCTTAACTCCCGAATCTGAACGGGCCGAAGCGCAGTCCGTACGGCCCGACCGACATCATACCGAATGACTAATACGGCAATGAACCAGGGCTAGGGCTAGCGGACCATGTGCCCTGCACTACCATGGTCTCGCTGTCGTACAGAAAATCATATAGAAAGCATACATATCTGATCCTACCACAGATACCAACAAGGATCCAAGTACGCTGGCCGTGTGTCAGCGGATATGATGCATCTCCCACGCCTGCCGCAATAACCTGCACAGAATGTGAATCTACTGCCACTTGGCTTACGACTACGCTGACGACTCCAGCATGTGCTGTTTTCTTAGCTAGTGGCATTTGTGATCTATCAGCAGAGTGGACCATATGAATTAGATCCACGATAATGACATGGAGACAGCGACAGGGAGAGGATTATGTGCCAAATACGGTGTTCCATACATATTACATGATATCAAAAGCAGTGCGTCAGATAAACACAATTGATATACACTGTCTTATCTGGAATGATTGCATCATGTCATTATTTGTTGATCGAGAATTGAGTTCGATCCACAAAATCAAAACCTTGGAAGACGTCATATTACCTAATATAGGACCTCCACCACGTGGCAAGCAAAGCTCTTGGCTGGAACTATAACGTCATGTACTATGCATAACTGAACGTTTGAGAAACCTGGCATATATTTTTTTAAGACTATCACAGACATCGACGCCCTATTCATCTTAATTCAGACTTATGTGCCTCCCTGCAAATCTTAATTAAGCTCTTAGGCTAGTGACCAAGTCATATCACACCCCATTTCTATACCTAATAATCCTAGTAGATAGCTGGTATTATCGTTTGGCCGTATAATCCCGCAGCACATATATCATTCGAAGTAGCCTCAGGTCAAACCTATCTATCTGAAACGGGAAATCCAGTCCTGCGACACACGCTGTGACCGCACACTTAGCCCAATACAATTCAGGATTGCAGTCTTACCACAGATCATTTAGTTAGTCACTAATCTCTGCTATTACTATTTCCTAACTGTATCTGTCCTCCAGGGACGTGGTGGCGGGCCATCGTCAAACCCGGACGGTTTCACCCCGCATGGACCGCAACCCCTTTCCGTCTCAGTCTGGGCCACCTCCCTCCGTGCGTCCTCCTTCACCACTCCATCCCGATGCCATCGAGTACCAATTTTTTAGAAAAAGCGCTTTTCTCGTACTGCCGCTGCCTCAGTTAGCTCTGGATGTGTCTCGATGTCAGAACTGCCCGGAACTGCAGACTGCGTTGGCTGAACTAGTAGTACTAATACGTGCGCGTTTCGATCTTGTCCTCTTCGCCATTGTGATGTGCTGACTGATTGCCTGCCACATTTTCCAGTTGCTTCGTTCCTATGCAGAATGCGGAGTGAAAAACGAAATTGTCTTGCTTACAGGATGTGATGTGAACAAGATCTCTGGAGCATCCCGGACCACATGGATGGCATCGAGCTCGAGCCAATTGAGGAGCTTCGTGGTTCCCTGACAGTTCTAGCTCCTCGTCTCTGACAGGGATCGCCATCTCTGACACCGTTGACGCAAAAGCCCTGCAGATATCTCGCAGCCGCCGTTTGTCATCTATTCCGTCCACTAGACGACACCAACCCAAGGTCTTGGAACAGACCAAAATCCAGTGATTCCTAATCCAGAAAATGCTTGACACGGCCGAGTAGGTGGCTGCTTCGAGGTAGACTAGCAGTTCTAGTTGCGGCGCTTGGACATGAAAAGCCTTATCACGGATCTAGACTGCTGCCTGTCCGTCTCGAGCGCTTCTCAGTTTGTTTCTTCTTTATGCACTTTCTTTCCTTGCTATCCCCTCTTTCTTGTCTGTCTTGTGTCCCTTTTTTTCTCTTTGCCGCCCTGGTTGGCGTTTTTGCGACTCTTCAGCTGGCCTGGGATCTCGTTGTGTCGAGACTCTGGCAGTCCCGACCCATAGAGATTTGTCGCTACCCTTTTTTTCTTTCCTTTTGACCATTTTTCGACAATCTCTTTTCTTCGTTCTTTCACTTGTCTCTTATCGAAAGCACGTTTCTCATGTCGGCATTGTCACTCGTTTAATCGTCTTCCGGGACGAAGACTAGTTCCGCTAAGACGACATGAATCATTCCGTTCTTTGGTCGCGGGCGGTAGCCCAAAGAAGTCATATCGCGACCAGCAGCTACATGTTTAACAATGAGACGCAGAAGCTGATTATGGAGCTGGTCCGCAATAACGATGTCAAATATGGAATGTCGACCGTCCTCCTAGTGGCCTTCAACATGGCGTCCGCAGCAATTGTCGTCGGTCTTGTATTGTATGATGCAAGGAGCCTGGCAAAGAGGAGTCTCCCAACGAAAACAGGGTACGTCCAGCTTCTCGAGCATGCCAACAAACTTCGATTAGGTGAGAATAACATTTCGACAGGAAGACACCGAACCTGCTTCACATGGTCCATCCTGCTGAGGTGGTACCGCTGTCACTCTCCATGGCCATTCTGGCCCAGGGGGTAGTCTTTCTGTCAGTCCAAGCCATAGGAGTTGACACCATCATGATCCAAGATTGTCGAGCGATCGGCCAATTGGTCTTTCCAGGTACGTCTAAGATGCTCGGCTTATTGCCTAACTCTCTAACATGTGCAGCGATCTGGATCGTCGGATTTGTTGTCCTCGTGCTCGGAATCGAGACGGTCTATAGGAGCCTCCGGAAGGATCGATTTGCGTCTCGTGGTAGATGGAATATCATAATATGCTGGGTCGCGGTGGCTGTCATGCTGCTTCTCACATGGATCCCTACGAGGGCTCGTCCAAGGGCGCATGACAGATGTCGTGCTATTCTTCTGGTCTTTGCCCTTCCGTGGGCCGACGTGGCTTTTGGAATCACACTTGCGCTGATCATCTTGTACCTTGTCATGGGCGCGATATTGGTGGCTCAGCTGCTCCGCACAGTCAAGTTGGACCGCACGGAGAGGATTGCTGCCAGCCGGATGGTCTACTATCTAGTACTCGCAGCAGCTCTTTTTGTAGGTTTTCACGTCTCAGTATATTGATCCGTTGCTGACCTGGCAGTCCTTTGTCATACCTCTCTGGGGGCAGGTTACATTTTCTCGACGCTCCCAAGTGACCTTCATGATGGCGACAATCGCATTGAACGTATTCGGAATTGTCAACTCATTTTTCCATCTTCTGCTTCGATCAAACGCGGATAGCATGGCCATTCGTCCCCCGGCAACATCATGGCAGGGGAACCGGAAATGGAAATTCTTCGGTTCGAACGCGCTGGACATTGGGCATCATATCACCAGCCCAGTGGCTTTGCCGGACGACAGTGCAACTGTGTCCCGAAGTTCTTCGAAGAGAGACAAGAGCGATGTCGAAGCTGCCGGCCAAAGCAAACCGGATGCTAATAAGTCTCTGCCCCCTCCACCGCTGTTAACGGTGCCAAAACACTATCAGAAAAGATCTCAATATTCGGTTTTCCCGACGAAGGAGAGCACTCGACAATTGTTGCGGCCACTGCATCCACCCTCAAGCATCTACGAGGATGATGAGAACTTGTTGCGTCCGCCGGAGGCTCCTTTTGCCAGCCATCAGCGGCATTCCTCGGGTGTCAGTATGGCTACGGTCCAGATAGGACTTCGGTTGAGCAATGTGAGCATTCCAGCGATGCGCTTGTCGAATCAAAAATTCTATCGGCCAGCAAGTCCGTTGACTCTCGGTCCGTCGGGCCTTCGAGAAGAGAGCATTCGTTTGTCTGCCCAGTCTTTAGACGTTCCCGTGACACTCAGATCGCCAACGTCTGAGCCAAACTCAGTACCAGAAATTTGGGTACAGAAGACGGAAGTGACGGATGATTCCACAGCGAAGGCAAAACCAAGTGTGAAGAAACCCATTGACCGATCGGCGACGATGAAGGATCTACCACCCCATCCGCCATTGGAGTTTAAGAGCAACAAAACAAAGCAGGCAGAAAAGGTCCTTGAGTCAAGGCCCACGACTGCATCTTCCTCGGCGCAGACCGAGCAGTGGCCTTTACGCAATTCGCAGGATATCCTGTTACCGAAAAAGGCATACCGGCCGAATGAAAACAGTCGGGACGGATGGATATGAGTGACGGGACATGTTTGCCTCAGTAGGCTTTCTGATTTTTTTTTCCTTTCATAAATTCAGTTCCCTTCGTATATGGCGCTGTATGCTATTGGAGAATTTCGCCTGTATAAATTAGCACTTTCTGTTCGTTCTTTTCTTCTTGTATGATGATGACATGTCTAACGATTGTTGGGTTGACTGAAGAAACTTCATTCTGTGGATAGCATAGCACATCGCTTGTCCAAGTACAACGCTTGTCCGAGGGGACTTCCATATTACAAAATAAAACAAAGCCAATTGATTGAGTTGTTGATCGGATCGGATCGAATTGGACTGGATTGGATTAGGTAGAACCTTTTTTTTTTCTTTGGAAAATTTGAGTCATGAGTCAGTCTGCAAGTTCCAAATAGTCCTCCTATTCATGATTCACCCCATGCAGGATAAGCACTCAGGTTCTCCCACTCCCCTTTCCTGTAATGCTCCGTCACCTCCCGGTACTTGCCCTCGGGGATCCTAATCTCACGCCGGTTCCCATCGCTGTCGAAGAACATGAGATAATCGGGCTCGCGGCACGCTGGCGCAGGGTCGTCACCATTATTATTGTTGTTATTATTAATATTCCGACTTTGGACCGCAGCATCAGCATCAGCATTAGCAACAGCACCGCCTTGATACCAACGGGCTGCCACGCCTGATGTCCCAGGCATCCCGTAGCAACAGTCGCCGTCCCGACAGCGCTCAGAAACTGCTGGGCGGTCCGTACAGCGGCGCTCGTTGAAGCCGTACACCCGGTCATCGCCATGTGCCGTTTTTGCGCGAAGGCTGTGGGTGAATGGATGGGCGGCTTCGCAGCATTGGCCTGGTTGTGGTTAGCACACGAAAGGCTAGGCGTTTTTTTTTTTAAAAAAAAAAGGTCTGCGGTAGATTGTCTGGGAAGGAAGGCTTTTAGGTACCTAGGTACCTGTGTAGTAAGTAGATACTGAAATGAAAAAAAGACTTGCCTGCAGCGATATTAGTGCATCCCTGCGAACTCCCACCACAGTGATCCTCTGTATGGAAAAAGAAATCGTTGGCCAATGCGCTCTCAATTAAGAAAAGAGAAAATAAAAAGACAATTTTTGGAACAAGCATTTTTCTTTCTTTTTTTTTTTGTCCTGTGTGGCCCCTATTACTGCTGTTTATGAGAGAAGCTAGGCTAAGTAGATAGGTATATTAGTACCTAGGTAAGTAGAAGTAGAAAGTGTACCCGTAAAATAATCTGCTCAACTTGAGCCTGTCTTGACAGCGAAATTAAGAGTCTTTATTTATAGTCTCCTACTCCTTGCTCTGGTGGTCCGTGGTCATCATGTCTCAGCAGATTCAATTCACCGTCACATCTGGGTCGCCCAAGCCTCAATAATCAATATTCACAAGCTGAATGAAATAAGTCGCGTATCACGTAATAGATTCTGTCCTCTGTTCCACATGTGCAACCAATACGACTAGTTTCTGCTGGTTGAGGCTGACGTTTGTTTGTTTTTTCAGGCGTGATAACCGAGTCCTCCATCTCATGTTGTACAGTACATATGCTGTACATATAAGACAGTGATCACCTGAACGCCTAGACTTTTTTCATCGTCGTCATTTCTCTTGGCCCGCTGTAAGGGTTTAATTAATCAATAAATATACCTAATCAAGGATAAAAGAAGATGTAACTTACCAATTTGGTTTCCCATCTCATTTTCTGCCCTGCGATATTCCTCGATCATTTTTCGGTGTTTAGCTTCGTCTGTGACAATTAATTAATAATTAGAGTCGACAGAGGAATATGCAATATGAGCATGGTCCTTCAGCCGAACAAGCCGACAAGACAACTGCAATGGCAGCAGGCCTACCCCACGGCTCAAACTCTCTCTCTCCAGTGTATCCCAGTCCTCCACTCTAAACAATTCCGTCGCTCTCGCAGCATTCTTCCCGTCCCCGTCCGGCGGTATGTAGATGGCTTTTGAGACTCCCTCGCGGTCCTGGTAAGACATGAAGTTGGGATACGCCATCTTCAACGGCGGCCCGGGAGGAAACTTGGCCAGCATGTCCCAGTCGCCAGCAGCAGCAGCCAGATGGCATACCTCTTCATACGCCTCGGGTGAGATGATGGCAATGCTATGGTCGATGCCTTTGCTGTCCGTGTAGTGGAACACGGGGGGCGGAGCTGGTTTTCCATGTGGAGCTGAAGATTGGCACGGGATTGCTTCTTTGCTTTCACTGGCTGCTGATGCCATGGAGGACTGTCTGTCTGCAAGTTGTCATTGAGATGATGGATTGGATACTGACGAAGTGGCAGTGACAGTGATGGCGATGATGTAAAAAAAATGAAGGTACAGGGAGAGAAAAAAAAGGTTGGTACTGCTAAATCTGCGGTTCTGTGGGAAGAAGGAATGATAATGATAATTTTGGATCTAATCTAGTACATGCATCTTGTATTCTAGTTACTGTATTCTGCTGTACTGTACAAGTTGATTGGAGAGAGTGTATGAGTGTGTGAGTGCGTAGGAGTGAGTGTGAGTGGAATAATGTACATACAGTACATAGATTATCACATATTATCACATCATATCATACATACATATCCTTCTTGTATATATAGTACAAGCCTCTCTCAGTCTCGGGTCTCGATCTTGAGAGGGAATATCTGCCTGCCTGCCTGCCCGCACGGTCTATTCTATTCTGTTGTATTTTATGCCAGAAAACTTCTTGCCGGGCAGGTTCCCTGCTTACCTATATTCTGCCATATTCCTGGGTGATCCCTTAGATTCCTCAGTTGCGAAGGCAGACAGATTAGGGAGGTTGGCAGTCGATGACAATTAGATATGCTTAAAAAACAACATTGAGCAACTTCCCCCCCTTGACGACCACTACCCGCCGTCGCTTCTCCCAGTCGTTCTTCTCCCGCAGCCACCGCCGCCCCTGCTCCGTCTCTAGCACCCGCGAGATGACCCAGTCCTGCTCCTCTTCCGGCGTCGTGGCCGACTGCAGCCGCGGGATCGTCACGCTGAAGCGCAGCTTGCCGTTGATCTGCACGGCGACCGTCTGCCCGCCGCGCGCGGACAGGGTCTCAGCGTCGGAGTCGCTGAGTAGCGGCGTAGGCCAAGGAGCTGCTGCGATGTTCGAGGATGTGGCATGCTGGTCGGCTGCGGTCTCTGGCAGGATATCCCTGTGAAGGACTTCCCAGCATTCAGAGGTAAGGGCCGGAGCGACCGGAGCGAGAAGCCTGAGAAGAGACGACACGCAAATGTAGAGCACAGCCGGCGTGGTGGGCGGCGACGAGGCCAGCGCGTTCGTCAGTTTCGTCAGATCGGAAATCACCGTGTTCAGTCCGTAAGGGTCGCTCTCGATGCATTGCGTGACAGAGCAGATCGTTCGATGAGTCGACAGAACAGCGTCGGCATCACTGTCAGACAGCTGTGACAGCGCAGGAAGAGCAATCGCATGACTCGAGGCCAAGTCACCCGACAGCTGGAACGATGACTCAGACAAGCTCTGCCGGGCGTCCTGCACCACCTTCCACAGCCGCGCGAACCACCGCTCAATGCCCACGATCTTCGTCTCATCCCAGTCGAGCACCTCGCTCACCGGCGCAGCAAAAAGGACGTGCGCGCGCGTTGCGTCGGCTCCGTACTTGGCCACGCACGTCGTCGGGTCAACACCGTTGTGCTTGCTCTTTGACATCTTCTCAAACGACACATTGGGAGTGATCTGCGTCCCCTTGATCAGCGGCTTCTCCGGATTCGTCAGGTCGACCTCGGACGGAAGCAAGAATCGTCCGGTCGATGGCTCCGTGTAGGTTTTGCCATGCACCATGCCTTGCGTCAAGAGCGTCCGGAAAGGCTCTGCAGGCGCTGCGACGGCGCCAGAGTGAGCAATCTCCGGGAACAATTCCGATTGCGCTAGGAACTTGTAAATGAAGCGGGCGTAGAGCAGGTGCAAAATCGCATGTTCCACGCCGCCGACGTAGATATCGACAGGCCGAGCCGTAGACGGCGAGAATGGCAGGTCTTCATTCGCTGGATCCAAATATCTCAAGTAGTACCACGACGAATCAACGAAAGTGTCCATGGTATCGGTATCCCGCTTCGCAGGCCCACCGCACCTCGGACACTCCGTATGCAGCCATTCCTCTGCAGACTCCAGCGGATTCCCCTTCTTTCCCTTAAGCCAGTCGCCCTCGACTTTTGGCAGTGTCACCGGAAGCTGGTCCACTGGCACAGGAACCGGACCGCAGCTCTGGCAGTGGATGATGGGAATTGGAGTGCCCCAGTGGCGCTGCCGGCTGATCAGCCAGTCGCGCAGTCTCCACGATTCGGCAGTCTCGCCGCGGCCAATCTGCTGGAGATCCGAAACGATCTGTTTGGCGGCATCCTTGGAGTTGAGGCCTTGATATTTCCAGCATCTCGCGGTGAGGAATCCTTCCTGGGTGAACGCCTGGGCGTCCTCGGCAGGGACAATACTGGAGGCCTCGTCCTGGACGGTAGATTCCGGCTGGATGACCATAGAAATGAACTCTGGCTTCATATTTTCTTTGAAAAAGGCCAGGTCTCGGGTGTCGTGGCCTGGCACGCCCATGACCGCCCCTTCTCCGTAGCCGCTCAAGACGTACGGAGCGACAAAGACGGGGAGCTTGCGGGAGAGATGAGGGCTCTCTTTGTCGATTATCTGCAGCGGATGGGATGCATACACGCCCGCTAACCGATAACCGGCCTTGGAATCGGGAGGAAGAGAGGCCGCCTCGTCCAGGAATTTTTGCAGTGCGGGATCCTTCCTGGCGGCCTTGACAACCACCGGATGATCCAATGACAGGGCAAGGTATTCGACACCATATAAAGTATCAGGCCGCGTGGTAAACACCTCCACATCGAGGTGCTCGTTTGCGTCAATCGTTACAGAGAATTTGATCTTCGCGCCTTGTGACTTGCCCAGCCAATGCCTCTGCATGGACAGCACGCGCTCGGGCCAAGCCCCTGACAGAGCATCGAGGTCTTTCAGAAGGGCCTCCTTGAAGGCGGTAATGCGGAAGAACCACTGCTTCAGCTTGATCTTCTGGACCTTTGCGCCGGAGCGCCACGAGAAGCCTTTGGCGTCGACCTAGAATGACGTTCAGCAAGGGATTGCCCACGAGATGATTGGGTTAGCCTACCTGCTCGTTTGCCAGCACAGTCTTATCGACTGGATCATAGTTGACAAGCGCTTCCGCCTGGTACGCGAGACCTTTTTCGTAGAGCATGAGGAAAATGCGCTGGGTGTGCTTGTAAAAGTCTGGCGAACATGTCGCCAATTCCTGCCTCCACACTCAGCACTAAACCATGCAACCAATTGTAAGAGCACGACGAACCCTGTCCCAATCAAACGCTATCCCGATATTCCTCAGCTGTGCCCTCATCCGCTGTATGTTATCCCTCGTCCACTCGGCCGGGTCGACACCACGCTCAATCGCCGCATTCTCCGCCGGCAAGCCAAAGGCATCCCAGCCGATGGGGTGCAGGACGTCGTGGCCACGCATGCGATAAAACCGCGCCAGCACATCCGAGATGGTATACACGCGCAGATGGCCCATGTGCAGTGTGCCGGACGGATAGGGGAACATGGCGAGAACATAGGACTTGGGCCGGCCATCTTCCTTCGAGCCCATTCCGAAGGTTATCCTCTCCTTCTCCGATTCCATCTGCGCCCATCTCTCCTGCCATTTCCTGTCGATCGCCAGGAGGTCCAGCCGCGGGGGTACGGAAGAAGTCGAGGCCAGTCTGCGGGAGGGAAGGGAATGATAAGGAGTTGCATTTTTTCGGTATGTGGTAGAAGAGAAAGGGCCAAGATTATTGCTGTGGAAAGTTGTAGTTGTCGTAGCAGTCTTCCTGCCCGTCAACAAATATCGCCGTCCGCCGGACACAACAACGGTTCTCCGGGAGGCAGGCAACATCATTGCCAAGGGAATCAGCGCGCGTCCACACGAGAGGGAGAGAATATGCATCGTCGCTGTCGTAATAGGTTCGAACTGGACTTTTGCTGTATGAGCATGATGTCAGATCATGTACGCATCCATGATTAGGCGTATGAAATTGAGAGCTGCGCGGGCATCATCAATTGAGCAGAGCCACAGAAGAGGGACCAGTGCGGAAAGTCTGGAAAGTGGGTCAATTGATCTCTCCAGTAAATCGATTGATCAATTGCGTTCGATATGCAATATCAACCGATGCCATGGGCATGATTGTCATTCGAGCTGCGCCGTCGGTTTTTGGCTCCTCCGGCCCGATCGGGTTAGCGCAGACTACAAACGGCTAACCTAGTCGGGTAACCTGTCTACAAGCCAGAAATTGTCAATATTTCTTCTGGTATCATGACGACTTTCTATTTCTTCTTCAGCTAGTGGCCCTTCAGTCGCTCAACATGCTGAGCAACATACAGTACTGTACTAAGTGCCTAGGTGTCTCTTTGGCCTCCACCTGGATCTTATCAAGCCGATCCATGTAACCGGATTGGGTTTAGCGCAGCCCTTGAGACTATGGTCGAAGAACGAGGCACCCTTCGCATCATCTTGCATTCTTATATTGTTGTTGATATCCAAAGGGGCGAGAAGGACCTGAGAGCACCATAGGATTACATGACTCTTTTCGACCTGTGTTAATTTCGTGGTTGACCATTCGTCGCCCCCGCGGATCATGTGATCAACAGGCAGCATCTCCTTCCCTGCTCACTTCATCTTACCGTCCTACGCTCCTTCACTGTATTATTCCTTGCTCCCATGCAACCTAGAGTTACCGTCTATTATTCCCCAAATTCTCACGTCTGTATCATGTCCTCTCCGAATATGTCTACCCCCACCGTGTCAACCACTGGGCAAGGTGCCCAGTTATCGCTCGAACAACCCTCATGCTCCGAGCGGAGATCAGAAGACAGTTAGTTCATCAGAAAAAGTCGAGACTCGGGAGCATCCAGGAGCATCTTTCGAGTTTGAGTGAACTGCTGAAGATAGTTCACGATTTTCTGGGTGGTCTTGGTGAAACAGACCTGAAGTTGCGCGTGAAAGAGACGTTGATACCAACAATGTCAAGAGAATTCTGAAGGGCCATCGAGCAATGTACGACCTGGAGAAAGGCATTCTTACTGTAAAGGGAATGTCGAGGCCATTACATGACTCTATTTTTCGCCTTGCTTCTTTATTTCTTACTTAAGCCCTATCGAAAGGCTTTCTTATATGTGAGGAATCGCATCTTCCGTAGGCAACAGCTCAAGCAGAGTGCTTACTGGGAAGACCAAAGATACAGGGAAGAAGGTTCAGGCTTGGACAAAATATCCTGATTCCTCTTATCTCTTCGAGGATCCCAAGTCACTTGAAACGACGCCAACAGTTATATTTGAAGTTGGATTTACGGAGAGCTACCAGGATTTACTAAGCGACATGCAACAATGGTTAACAAAAAGTGAGCAGGGGGCGATATTCAATTAGTGATTCTAGTCAACATCATGGAGGATGTACAGCTCTCACATCTTCCAATGCATCCAGCATTAGAAGCGAAATCATAACCTCTGATGTACATGGGCTTCAAGGACAGGTAAGGGACCCCTGTTTACTACCTACGATTATTATTATTGCTAATACTTAAGTTAGATAACAGAACTGCTTTGATTTTAAAATTGGTACATTCTTTTCATGATATGAAGGTCTCACTGAGAGCCTAGTCTAGAAAACCAAAGAAAGGTTGCCAGAAAGAAAACAAGCAGGAGCAGGTGGATGCAGGCAACTACAAAGAAAATAGATGGAACGATCTCTATTAATAACATAAATTTTATCTTCTATCTTACAATCTACAGTCTACAGTCTATAGATCTCCCCGTCCATCCCAATTCCGCCACGGAAATGATCCGCAACCACTCTTCCTCGCAGGATCGTCTCGTCTACGATCCCCTCGACATGCTTGGGCTCGACACGACCGTACCAGATGCCCTTTCCGGCCAGCGGATTCGGGCTCGTGGCTATCGTCGATGACGGCGAGGCCGAGGAGCTGGTCCTCAAGCCCGGAGGGAGGTAGATGATCACGTTCCCCGCAAACTTGTGTCCTCCGATATGGCTGATCAAACCGAGATTGGCGTGATTTGGTCCGTCAACCTTTCTTGTGCCGTCCTCGTCTTGGTTGTTCGTGCTGAACCCTCGTTGCTCGAGCACGCGCTGGAACTCTGCCCGCAGCACCGGGCCCATAATCCCGCAGCGCATGTCGCGCCCGCCATGGCCGCAAATCAGAATGGTCGGCGACTGCTTGATGTCGATCATGTCGGGGAAGTGGGCTACCAGATCTGGGGCGCGCGTCATATCTCTTCGTCTGGGCTCAGGCACGGCGGAATGGGCGTGGTGCAGTTCGTGAGGCAGGAGCATGGCCCGGACGAAGGTCTCGAGATCTGCTTCTGATGATGATATCGACGAAGAAATCGGAATAAAGGGCACGTATTTGAATGCGGGGAAGATAAAGGCCGAGGCAAAGCCAGACGACGGATCAGCCGACGGGGCGAAGGAGGAATTGGTGAGAACGACATTGTTATATGGCTAGACATAAAACAAAATTGAACATTGTCAGTTTCGTAAATTACAGACATGACAAGACAGACATGACAGACATACGTCAGCGTATTTCCCTCCTCGCCCGATCAGACCCTTCAGACCTCGCGCCAGCGCTCCCCAGCTTTCCCCCACCCCGTCATCCTCAATCCGGCTGGACCAATCGTTCCGCCCGGTCGAAATCAGCACCTGCTGCGCGTAGGCGGCCATGGTCGCGTTGAGCGGATTCTCACGGTCGATGGGCAGCCCGTCCGGCATGGGCGGAGTGGGCGCGCATGCGCAGGTCGGCTCGGGACATGTCCGGACGATGGGCAGCGGCGACGACGAGGAGGAGGAGGAGGACACAGGTCGAAAGAGCAGCGGAGTCCGGCTATTCGTCGTGCTGGCCCTGCATCTGCGAGGGAGATGGAATGCGTTGCGGCGTGGAACGGCGGACCGCAATGGGAGAGCCATGTTGAGTGTTGCGCTTGATTTGACGGACTGGAATAGCGCGATCCGGAACAACACGGAAAAAAAGGTTATATATATCGCACAAAAAGAAATATTGGATAAAACAAAGCAAGAAAGAACGTACGGCCGCGAATATCTTCGGTCTCGGTCTCGCGCGCGGAGAAGACGAGCGGAGCGGGAGCTTCGGCTTCGGAGATAACAACCTTAATCGATCACCCCGGAATCATCGCTGATTGATAATCAATAGCCAATCTCTTGCTTAGCATTAAATTCCGCCCGGGAAAATATTATATACTTTTCGGATGTACAGTGTACATTACTACGTGGCTATACGTGATGCTCAATGGACTATTTACAGCCTGGTTCTAACAGCGCCAGGCTATTGAATTCCATACAGGTTCTATGGAACCATATGCACCCGACATCTCATCATTATACCCCGTGGACACCTTAATATACATACAATCGAAGCAATAATGGTATCATGGACAAGGAGAACAGCACTATATCGTCATCAGGAGAAAGCAGAAGGAAATCCAGAAGAAGTTTGTTTCAAATGAATGATCGCAGACAGCTCACGACGGGAGCTCGTAGACGGGCCGGTTGTTTTGGCTCTCCAGCTCCGCCGGGGGCTGCTGCGGCCCCCCGTAGAACTGATAAGTCTGTTTGTTCGGGTCCTTGTCACTGTACGGCTCCGCGGGGCCCCCTTGCAAGGGCTCGCCTTCCGCCTGGGTCGCTTGCTGCTGACGACGGCGTCTCAAGAAGAGAAAGGCCAGAGCCGAGATGATGGCCAGACCACCGACACCAACGCCGACCCCGATCCCAGCCTTTGCCCCGGATGACAGGCCACCGCTACCGCTGTCACCGGAACTGTCTGAAGCGCCCGAGACACTATCCCCGGTGGTCGGCAGAGGGGTCCAGTGTCCCGTCCAGCTGTCCTCCCAGCTGCTCTGAGAGCCTGCCAGGGAGGAAGCGCTCGGATCGATGCTGGTGGTCGACGGGGTCGACTGGTAATTGGGTCCCGGAGCCTGAGCCAGGAACCAGTTCCCGGTTCCTTGACCCCAGTTGACCCCGACAAAGGCGGCCTGGAGGAAAGCGCGCCCCAGCCCATAGGTGCCATTAGTGGGGAAGCATGGAAAATATGGCGTCGGCGTGCCGACCAGTGGCGCCTCGAGGGTCAAGTTGAGGAGCGCAAAGGGGACATTGATCGTGAAATTGGCTGTATTGAGGCTATTCAGCCGGAAAGTGAAAGCCAGGTAGGCGGGGGAGGTCACGATTCTTCTGTAGTCGGGGCTTGATGTATTCCAGTAGTAGAGGCCCATAGAGGGCTGGAACTGGACCGGCAGGTTGGCCGTGATGGCGTCGCAGGTGCTCTGCGGCAAGTAGAGGTAGGGGTCCGGAGGGGACACCTGCACCGACAAGGCCTAATCCGATGGACGAATTTCCCTGGGCGAGCAGCCCTGTTTTGTTGGCAAAATCCCACGGGGAGCCCCCATCGGCAACCCCGAGGCCGATGTCGAGGAGCTCGATGGGAAAAGTGGCCCCGTTGTACGCTTGCGCTGACACGGGCGCCAGAGCCCGGGACTGATCGTATCCTCCCAACCAAAGGGAACCGGGGATGTTGAAGGCAGCGGATCCGATGTGCAGACCATACGAGTATGACGGGACGGCGTGGGTGATGTACATGTAGCTGTTGACGAAGGTGGTGTTGATTGCCGGGAGAGGAGGGTCCTCGGTGAAGGTGTGGTTGGTGTTGTTCGACCCCAGGGAGAGGATGCCCACCTCGACCGGGTAACTCTGGCCGCCAGGATATGTCTGTTGGATCGAGTTGACGGTTCTTAATGACACATTGGGGATGACATATCCGCCAATGTCAACATCGTCGAAGGACTGCTGGGCGGTTCCATATAGGGGAACGCCGTTCACGCCTAGTGGGATGTCGCCATCCCAATAGATACCCGAGATGGAGGTGTTGTCCAAAGTCGAAGACTGATCCATATTGAAGAGGCCCGCTTGATTCCCATAGCAGGGACCAGAAACTGCCTGGTTTTGGCAAATCTGGGTGGTGAGAATGGTGCTTGCCCAGTTCCCTCCCGGATACAGAGCAATGTCCTGTTTTGGGGTCCCAATGCCGACTTGGACAGCTTGCCATGGGCCATCAGGTCCAAAGGTCTTTGTGGACCAGGTCATCTCAAATGGAACGGGGGCCTCATCTGCGCTCACAGTCGTCCACAGACTGCTCGCGATGAGCAGGCCAGAAAAGAGGATCGACATGGCTGTGCTATCTGCTGTTCTTTTTTTTTGTCTTTTGGCACGCGCGCCAATGACAGTGGGAGAAACTAGTCCGATATATTCAAGTAAGGTAACGAACGACCAATCTAGATACAAATAGACAGGGAAAATGGAGGGAAGATCCAACAGAATGGATCCTCATCCAGCAATGAAGGTGGAAAAAAACATGGCATTCAGTAACAATACACGACAAAGGGAGAAGGAAGAAGAGAAGGATGAATAAGGCTGCGAAAAATCCACCATATCTGTAAGGCAGGAGGATGGCAAAGCCACCAGCAAGTACTAAAATAAGTCTGGCCAGCATTTAGCCGCTTGTCGACTAGAAATCTTTCCAAAAAGGACAGGAGGCGCAAGATCAAGTCAGCGCTAACAGGCTAGACCCGTGACCCCGACAACTCCGAGGGGCAGATAACCTGTTCTCCATATTAATCGGGTGTTGAACATATGAATCCCGATTGTGGCTGTTCCCTCTTCTAAAAATGTTCAAACGGTACAGTATCCAGGATTCCAGGATGCTGCAGGAGACATCTGAGAGTGCTCGCTCGAGTCAAATGCCACTACGGTAGTCGATGAAGATGGTGCAAGGTGAGAGGGTTGGGCTGCAAGAGCATACGCTCTATTCTGTCTTGATTTGTCACACTCGAGCATCCTTTTCTAGACTCGTATGGCAAGACTTTTATGAAGGCCGTCAATCTCGGGCACTTGCATCTCCAGATCCGCATGAAGTTGTGTCAGTGGAGTCAATTGGTGTGCTGGAAAGGCTGCCAAGCCGCCGGTCGATGGGGAACTGGAGATGGCGGCCTATCGCGTCATCTTCATTGGGCTGTGATGAGCAGCGGCTCTGATAGGGATCCATTAAGCTACATAGAGGATCAATCTGCTTCTGGTCAGCCATGATGCGACTATCTGTGGGATGAGGTAACCGGCAGGCTGCAGAGCCACACCACACCCGGCAACAGCAGATCTCCGGCTTCTGCGTGACGAAGGAGAGTGCCACGATCAAGCAGTGCCAGAGGTGTAATCGTCCTGCTGCGATGATCATGGACGCGGTGGAGTTCCTGCAGGAGATGTTGGCTGATTGCTCGTGGTGATTGGCGATGGACAGTGATGATCTCGGCGCGTTGCCCCAGTTCAGCCGCACCTAGCGTCTGTGTTGTCAGCAGCCTTCAACGAAGTTCAACGGACTGCCGACTGCGGAAACGAAAATAGTAATAGGAACCGAGTCCACTCACGACAGTATCCAGAGTGAGTCGGCAGAATGACCACGGAATGGATCCGTGGGAACGTGCGGGTGGAACTGGAGACCTTCGGGAAATTACTCCGCAGGAAATCACTCTTACTATCTCGACTTGACTCGAAATCTTCATCAATGATTCCAGTCTGATTGTGTCGCATATTCCAGACGGAGGATCCTTGAGGCCGTTACTGCGGAGTACAGAGGAATACGAGGAATCCTGCAGCACCAGGCAGAGCTCGTGGTTGTGCTGGTGCTGCCACGTGACTCCTTAGGTAATGCTCTCCTCCGCCAACCAGACTCGACTAACACCGCCAGGGACGCCTACGAGCCGCTGCGGAGTCGGGGCCAGCTGGTCAACATCAAGTCATCAACACCTTCAACGCCGGCCCTCGAGCATCTCTCCTCTATGGGATGACGCCGCTGCTCACCAGGTCCGCCATCTCGTCTCCTTCGAGGACCTCCTCCCATCCTCGCCATGGCCTCCCTTGCCCGCTTCGTCGACAAGTTCCGCTACTCGCGCCTGGGTCCTGGCGATGAAGAGCAGGGCACCACCCTGGTCAAGGTCAACTTCATGCAGCTGCTGACCTCCAAGGCCGTGCGCGCCATCGCCATCATCTCGCTCATGCTGCTTGCCATCATCGGTCTCTTTAAGCTGCCCACCGCCAATTTCGGTCGTTTCCGCCCCTCCAGCAGCTCGACGACTTCGTCCTCTGCGTCCTCGTCGCCGTCGCCGCCATCGTCCTCATACGACGGCAGTCGGCCCGACCTGTTGAGCGGCATTGACTGGTCGCGCTTCGCCTATGTGCAGTACGTCACCAACACGGCCTATCTGTGCAACTCCGTCATGCTCTTCGAGACCCTGCACCGCCTGGGCAGTAAAGCCGATCGCCTCATGATGTATCCCTCGTCCTATGAGGTTGATGGCTCCAATTCGGAGGAGAGCAAGCTGCTCCGGAAGGCGCGGGACCAGTATGGCGTCAAGCTGATGCCCATCGAGATCCAGCGCCGGGCGAGCGGCGATGGTGAGTCCATTCCAGTACCAATGGCTGCATCCGCTGACTGACAAGACGGTTCAGCCACCTGGGCCGAGAGCTACACCAAGCTGCTGGCTTTCAACCAGACCCAGTATGCCCGTGTGTTGAGTCTGGACTCGGACTCGACTGTTCTGCAGGTGTGTTGAAGCGTCTAATTCCCGAGCTGTTCGTATCTAACTGTTTAGACCATGGACGAACTCTTCCTGGCCCCCTCTGCTCCCGTTGCCATGCCCCGTGCATACTGGCTCAACTTTGACGAACGCACTCTGAGCTCGCAAGTCGTCCTGATCGAACCCTCCGAGTTTGAGTTCAACCGCGTGATGAAAGCGATGAACGAAGCTAAATCGAACGATTACGACATGGAGATCGTGAACTACCTGTACAAAGACAGCGCACTGATCTTGCCACACCGGCCGTACGACCTGCTGACCGGTGAGTTCCGGTCCGACAATCATAGCGCTTACCTGGGCAATTCGGAGGAAGCGTGGGATCCGGACAAGATTCTCAAGGAGGCCAAGTTCCTCCACTTTTCCGACTGGCCTGTGCCAAAGGTGGGTTTAGTATTGGTGGACAGTTGGGCGAGTGCTAACAGTCGCAGCCCTGGCTGACGGCCAGTCCGGCCGTTATCCAAGAGAAGCAGCCGAAGTGCGAGAAGAACCCGACGACGGGCGAGGAAGACAACTGCCGGAACCGTGATCTGTGGCTAGGATTTTATAGCGACTTTAAGAAGCGACGACAGGTCAGTGATCCCCCTCATTTTACTGCTGACAGACAGACTGACGGGTATTAGGAGGTCTGTGGCCTGAATACTGCGAAACCCTCCCCACGCAGCTTCACCGAACGCCGTCCCGCGGAGCGGAGTCCTTACGAGCCTGTATTTTAATGAGTCATGACCCGTCTGTTTGAAAAGGTTGGCATAGGCATGGGAGAGTCTTTGTAAATCTCCGTTGAAGGTACCTACACATTGGCATTTGCATTTGCATTCTATATCATATACCTGTTATACCTCTTGTTTGATATTTCGGTTTATGGCGATAGAGAAGCAGTTGATTTTTCTCCGCCTGGGATGTTCTGTATGTACAAGGACTTTCCAGACGCATTGTTCTAAGCTAGTATTTTATGCAATGATCTCGTTCTTTCCTCTCCAAGCCAGTCAGTCGTGTACATACAGCCACAGTTCCTGGTGGTATAGTGTAAGGGAGGAAGAAGAAGAAGAAGCAGAGCCGGATCTATCTATCTAGGTAGGTAACTATGCCATACATATATAATTCCTATTATCCTCCCTCCCACTCAACAGACTCAACAAACCCCAGGCTGCTGTGACGGTGCAGTTAACGGTTAAGTAGCCTAAGTGGTTATATATACCTACTAACAGTCCAGATGAGCGGCCTGGATTCGAAAAAGAACACAATTGCCTAACAAAGAAAAAAAAAATTAGTCTAGTAATAACCCCTGCCCACCAGAAGAAGCTTAGGCGGTTTTTTTTTCTTTTTTTTTTCGTAGCATTAGTGAGTGTGGGTCTCAGGAGGGGGCTTTTCCATGTTTTTATTATTATACTCATCTTATGATGGATGCAGCCAGTCAGGTGTCAGAGCTGGTATTATTATTATTAGAGTCTTTTTGACAATGCTTCCCACAGATAAGTAAACAGAACAGAACACCTAAGGCTGGCTAAACCACCAGATCAGGATTCTTCCCTGAAGCGGGATGTTTCTGTTTCTGGCAGTTGCTACTTGAGTTCATGTCTGCTCGGATAAATCCTAGGTATACTTATGGTATGATCTCTGATATTATTACCAAAGATACTCCATACTGGTCATAATATTCAGTTTATGAATGAACACGTGACTATAATGACATACATGCAGGACAGATGGCCTGTACAGCTTCACTCTATTCACATGGCTGGCAGAGTCTATCCACTCATCTCCTCCGATTGACATTACAATGCGTATCAGACATATATGCACACATGAGAAAGGACAACCTCGAAAAACGCCTCTATTTCGAACCGAAAGAGGCCAACGCTAACGACGACTGTGAGAGTGGCCATAGCAGACGGTAAAATCCTACCGCGCCGGCTACGAGAAGTACATAGTAGGCGATCGTCCAGCCAATGCCAAGTGGGGCGGAAATGTGTAGCTGGCTCACCTCCGCATCATCCTTGCCCCGAAGGTGAGGGGGTCCGATGGGCACAGCGGCTTCGACGCGGCCCCAGAGTCGAGGGAGACCGCACCAGTTACAGAAGCTGTGGACCAGGATCACAGCCGGCAGAGAGCCAGTCCGCAGGTACAAAAACGTGGCGAACCAACCGAAGACGGTCGTGTAGCCGAACTGGAAGATTGACCGGAGGAGTGACGCCCCGAGAGGCGTGTCCGGATGGGTTAAGCGGAACTCATAGCAATGATGCACATGGGCGATGCCGAAATAGAGAGGAGAGATGAATACGACCCGCCCCGGCGACATCTTGGCCAGCAGATGGAGCGAGACGATGACCGAGCGGAAGATGATCTCCTCCGTGACGGGACCCTAGAGTGTCGATGAGCGGCCGCTCATCAATCACTGAAAGTGGTTTGACTTACCGCGACGTAATTCCGAAAACCAATCCAGCTGCGCAGGCACTCGACGAGTCCTTCTCCTCGAAGCCACGCTTTCCATTCGCTTTGGGCGATGCCCCTCTCGAACAGCGGCCCTGTGAAAAGAATGGCAGTCAAGAGCAAGCTGCGAAGGATTTCGAGGGGCCCAATGGGCCACACTCCCAGCAGCTTGAGGACCTCTGCGACTGTTGCATTGCCTTTCTGCGTGGCGATGGCCAGGACAACCAAGGTGCTGATCAGGCAGGCAATGCTGACCGCCCGAACCCGGGTCCGAATGACAGAAGGCGCATCTCTACTCAAAGTGGGAGATGGCCGGGCAGATGATGATAGATAGAAGGGGGCCACATACCCTAGAGTGGCCAGAACCTGAAGGCACCTCAGTCAGACCATCATCAAGGTAGAGGGAGCAGAGCTTAAGTAAGCTTGAGGCATGCAGAAGAGCACTGAAGATAGTGATAAGACATGAAGGATTGCCTACCGAGAGCAGAGCTGCTGTGGTCACCGACAGCACTGGAGGAGGTTCATCTGAATCCATCAATCAGCATGGCTGTCTTTTGGCAGTGGAGGCATTACAGTATACCACGGTTCTTGGTGTAGAAGCTCATGAGACGATCAAAGACACTGGTGGGGGCCATGGTGAACCTGACAGCAGAGTCGTCAGGCTTCCTGCAGAGTATCTAGTGATGCTCCCGAGGCTTGGCCCCAGCCCGTCGACTGGGCAGTCTGCGTTCAGTCTTTTCGAGCTCCAGCAGCGACAGAGCAGATACCGTGCACGCTTGAATGCTAAGGAGCGAACAATGGGAACAATGGCTGTTCCTTGTCCACTCCAGAGGCCACACAACAGCACGCAGGAGGTCGAGATAGGACCGTGCGGGAACGGGAACTCTCGAGGTCTCGGCCCGGCCAAGTGTCCAGCGCTGCCCCAGACGCCGTCAGCGTGGTGCCCGGGTTCCTATAGGATTTGATGCTGGCACGCCTTACCATATTGAGCTAACATTGAGCCAGCACAAGTCGAGCGGAATCCACGGGTCGTTTTAGTAGGCGAGTGGGGAGCGATGGTTTAGCGCAGGGGCGGACTCGAGGACCCTAATATTTACTCACGCCTCGATCGGAGTCCTACTCCGGAGTAAATACAAAATAGGCTCGCACTTGTGGCTATAAGGGTATAGATAAAATCAGATCTTACTCTCATAAGGTGAGCCACAGGCCTCAGGTTGACAAGAAATCTTTCTACTTCTTGAAGCTGTGGACAGGGACCGGTTTTGCAAAACGCGGCTTCCCGATTGGCTTCCTGACTAATCGGGTTTAGGCTTCCGGCTGAGGAACAAAATCATTGTCCGGCGTATACGGAGTATAGGGAGAGATTCGATTCAGTGTGATGTGAAGGATCAGAAAAAGCAGGGCAAAGGATTACTGCCAATGAACATGGTATACCAGCAAATATTGCCTATCAATGACCTGCAAGCTGAGACAAATGATTATTGTGACCTCCAAATGTCTTTGCCAAATTTGCAGTGTTAGATGAATCGTTATTGGTTTTGACATGCTAACTTCACAGGGCTCTACGTTCAATGGCCATGGTTAGGAAAGGTCAAAAAAAAAGATCACATGTTTGTTCAGAAGCCTGGTCAAAGAATATTTGTTCAGGCATGCCTTATCATATCACCATCCCTTGAGACGCATATCCCTGCCAAGAAAAAAATTCCAAATCACCGCAAGGAACTGGAGATTCTGGCTTACTTGTGTATTTGTATAAGATGCATTTTAACAACGTTCATCATCTGTTAGATCCTTGATCTTCGTCAGAGAACGACCAGGAACTTCAAAATGGCTAAGATATGCAGATAACCACCGGAAAACTCATACTGCACAGCAGAGCCGTAAAAATATAAAAATATGGAGTGCAGCCAATTTGACACATTCCTTCAGAGCAAGACACTCCTGTTGGAAACACTCAGTTTCCTATTCTATAATGTCTTCCCGGTCCTCTGACAGCGTAATCATAGCTGGATCTATCCTTGAAAGGTGATTTTCACATGCAACGTAAATAGGCAGGTTAAACAAGCTGAATTCAAAGTTTAATCAGACATAAACATTTCTCTAAGATAAGCCTGAAAGGCCTGGGAGTTGACTGGAATCTGAATGCCGTCCATCTTCCTGGGAAAGGATTCTCCATGGCGAGGACGGTACTTTTTTTTTCCCCGGTTATGTGAAGGCATTGTTGTCGTGTCAGGTGACTGCGTGTAGACAAAGAAGCATAGAACAATCCACCTTGGTAGATGTGAGCTGCTACCGTCCTTCTTAGCCAGTGATTCTATTGGCATTCGGCATAAAATCAGTAAATTCTCAGAATCCAAACCAAAGTACGTGTAGCTATGGATTGTATAGTTTATTTAGAAATTAGCATGAATACGAATAGTGGGTATAGTATATAAACACAGATACTATGCACTCTGGAGTATGTTGTCCACTCCTGGAGTACGGAGTAATACTCTATACTCCGTACGCAGGAACTCTCCAAGCGGCCGGCGCTGCCCCAGACTGCGTGCCCGATCGATCGGGAATGGAATCGACGGAAACTCGTGGATTCTCTGGTCCAGCTCCATGGTCGATTGGCCAGAGTCCCTGGTGGTGGATGAAATGCGCACCTCTCATTGGACGCCCTGGCAAAAAGGAGCAAAAAAAGGACGCGATTGGCGAGTTAGTGCTGGCATCGCGCCTCCAAAAAAGGGAAGAACGACACTGAGCATGTGGGACGAGAGTTAAAAAAAGCGAAGGGAAGGAACGACGGATCGTTACGTGGCCGGCTATCCGCTATCGTTCCTTCCGGCACGAGCCCACTTGCAACGGCTGTCAGCGGGCCGGCAGGAACGGTTCGCACTGCCACGAACCCATGGAGTATCCGGATGATGGAGCACAGCGTAATCAAAACGAGGAGCGAACTCGACGGATAACAATCTAGACAGGGAGTAATATAGTAGGAGCAAAGATTAGATAGGAATGCAGATCAATCTGGACATGGCCCTTTTATTGTCGCAGTTAGACAAAGCCTTTGTGTGCCTGTGAAACGTTTGTTTCTCCGGGCTTCTCCAAAGGGGAACTGGTTGGACATCCCAGATCAAACTCCTAGCCATCGCCTCAAAATCTGCAGGTCTCAGCGCCGGCAGCACTCCGTCTGCAGTCTTCTGCAGCCAGCGACCCTGTGCTCCAATTATTGTGTCTGGCGGTGGCTGCTGCAAGCTCCGCCGGCGCGCGCCTTGCCCCAGCAGCTGCAGGAAGCTGTGCCTGGCGATCACGATCCCTCCGCTCACCGCCCTGGCATTCCCGCCCTCACCGCTGGCAACCAAATTCCAGTGCCGCCCCTTCAAAGCCTCTCTGGCATCCCCTCCCTTTGCTGTTGCTTTTGCTTCACCTTTGCCAGTTTGTTGTGCTTTTTGTGTTTGTTTTGCCAGTCATTCCTTTTCCTGTCGCTCTTTTCCAGACACTCGTTGCATCACCCTTGTTTTTGGCCTTTGTGCCCTCACACTCGTTATCTTAATGTAATGCGGTTTGATGCCTCTGTCAATAGAGATCATTATTAGATGACTTGACATCTACGCTCGTTATCATTTACCTGCCGCATTCTTGATCAAATTAGAACACTCATTGTGCCAATATTGCTTGTAATTTCTGTACTACAATCGCTTTCCCTGCATTCACCAGAGGCATCCTTCAGTCCATTCTTTTGAACCGCAAAGAATTGCGTTCACTGACTCAAGACGCTCTTTGACAACGTTGGAATTGCCATTTATGATTTATTGAGCGACGATCCCTGGTGCTTCCTGTTTTTCTTGGTGGTATCTGTCGGTGGATAATGCTTAATCAGTAATCAGCATCATGCCGTCTCCAATGCCTTCGCCAACTGCCTCGCCCAAGCGGAGAGCGCTCCACGAACGCACCCCATCCCAGACCAACGAGCGACCGGCATCGCCTCTGATCCGTCTGGTGAATGAGAGGAAGGATGACATCGATTTCTACTCGGCCACGCCCTATCCAACCAAGCCCGCCCAGATTCTCCCGCCTAATCCCGGCAAGGGCCAGGGATTCGCTGATGAACGAGGTTTTCGCGTTTCAGATCTCTCCCTAAGCTCCGCTGTCACGTCGCACCCAGCCACCGGCCACGTCGATCCGGGCAGGGATGCGAGCAATGCCTGGGAATTGTCGTCCTCAGTCGACATCGGCAACTCCTCGTCCCAGGTCTGGGAGGAAGACCCCAAGTCCAGCCGCTCCTCCTTCCCGGACGCCGATGACGCCAATGACACCAAGACCGTCTCTGGTCTTCCGTCTCTCAATCCTGAAGCCCGACAGGACGAGGACGATAACAACGAGGAAGAGGAGAAGGAGGAAGAAGAAGAAGAAGAAGAAGAGAAAGAAGACGACAGCGACGACGTGATTGCTCTGCCCCGAGTCCGGCCAACCGTCAAGGCTGTGCCACCTGAATCCTCATCCCCGAGAGCCGGATCGGTCACCGATTCTCCCAGTTCAGATTCCATCGCTCCCGACGACCACTCGTCCAGTCCCAACGTGGTCCCGATCGGGGTCCCGTCCAGCCCGAATTTCGTGCCGCTCGACAGCTCCAGTCCGAACGTGATCCCCCTCGGAAGCTCATCCCCAAACGTCGTCTCAGAAAGGCTATCGGACTCGTCCCTTGCGTCTTCGTCTCTGGCAACGGTTATCCACCATCCTGCTGCCGCTTGGAGGACTCCATCGTCTGAGGGCGCAAACTCGCAATCGGGATCGTTTCAGTCGAGTCCGCCGGCGTCACTCGCGCTTTCGCCCGTCCTGTCTACCCGGACCCGGTCTCGCACCGCCTCGAGCGGTAGCGCCCGTTCCGCAGCCGATGTCCAGGCCGTCATCGATAGCGGGGTTCCTGTTCAATACCCCACGATTCGCGCGCCGTCCTCGAGTTCATATGCAGAGTCCACTTCGGCTCCGCAGCGGCCGGCGCGAGCCATGACGGACCGACCCTCTGGGCGCTGGAACCCACGCCTGTCCACGGTGCCGTCGCAATGGTCGGAGGAAAACAAGCCCAGCACGCCATCTGCGAGCGGCAGCAGCGAGCTGGTCAGCGCTGGCAAGTCGGAAACGGGCCGATTGCGCAGCAAAACCAAATCGACGATCTGGGTTGTGGATGAGTCGTCGGGCGACGAGCATCTCGACAGCTTGTCGAATCTTCCTCAGTCCTCCTTGCGCCATATCCCTTCCGCTGTTCTTGGCAGCCACTCGTCAAGCTCGCGATCGAACAGTGTCCGAAGCCTGAAGCGCCCGGGCTCCAGCTCCAGCTCGAGTGTCGTTCTCAACACGCTTCCGAATTGGGTACGACTGTACTATAGCGGGACTCACTCCGGATTCCCTTTCGTCGACAGCCGGCCGTCGACGGCTTCCCGACCAGCATCGCCTGTGCGGTTCATCAGCCAAGTGCCCGGCTCGATATCGCGACCACGGACCCGTCCGCGTGAGAATAGTGAAAATCCACCACCACCACCACCACCACCACCACCACCACCACCACCGCGACTGATCCTCGACCACCCGGCTGATCCTCGCAGCCACTGGAAAGGAGGACAACAGGCGAACCAAGTCACGGAGGGGGAGCGGCTGCCGTCCGATCAACTGACCAGTACGTGGTCACCGCATCTGCATCCGGACAAAGGACAGGACAATCCGCGAAATACGTGGATGGCGCCATCCATGGATTCCACGATGGAGCCGTTTTTTGGACGAAGGAACGTTCAGGTCTATTCATTCTGCCTGGGATTCGTGTTTCCACTGGGTACGATACTGAAATTGAGATTCTGTCCTCATCGACTCCTGCTAACGTGCTTTCCCAGCTTGGCTCATCGCCGCCTTCCTCCCTCTTCCACCGAAGCCTGCCGCGGATGAAGAGGCCACGGCTGGGTCCAGCATTGAGACTCGAATACGCGAATTCGAAGAGAGGCGCTACCACAACGCACGGTGGTGGAGGAATGTGAACCGAATCATGATCCCGGTGGGCGTTTCGATCGTAGCCATTATCGTAAGTGCACCAACGTCCTTCGCTCAGAGCATGCGTGGAACTGACCTTGGTCCCCTGCAGGTCACCCTGGCTACGGTGGGCACGACGACGGGCTTCCACTAGGCTGGCCCGCTTCCGAACCTTAACGCGATCCATGGCACTTGATGAGATTACGATTACCGACAAGCATTACGATTGACAAAAGCAGGATAGACACGTTTTGCGCTTTTAACTGTTCGATTCTCAACCGCTCGCTGTCCGATCAATGATTCGATCTAAGCACGATTTACCATCATCTCTTTGATCTTTCAGCATTCTTCGTCACTTATTTCAGTCGCACTGCTGCAATGGCAGTGCTCCCGTTCCTGTTTCGTCTCGCTGCTTGCCCTGTCACATCATATCTTCGTTCTTCCGTACGACTATACGACTTTACGTGTACATATGATGATGGCAGGATTCTGCCGTCATGTCAACGACTTGTCACGCCTGCACGAATATTACTGTTGACATGACTGGGATAGAGCCCTTTGATTCATTTGTTTGCTTCTTTGTATGTTATTTTAATTTTGCCTGTATTTAATTTTGGAGCTTTCAGATCAAGAGATGATAGATGAAGCGCAACACTCTTTCCCTACAGCAAGTTAAGCTTCGGAGTCACTACCAACCATGGTCTGCGGATTACTTATCGGAACAGCGTCTTTTATTTTTATCGAGAATAGTATTCCTTATTCACGTCTGAGCTAATAATTATTAATTATATCCAGCAAGCCATACTAGGCAGTGCACTATGTAGATTAGTTTCCGTAGAATAGAAGGTGCACTTGCACATGCCAGAGACAGAAAAGGAAAGGAAGGAAACGAGGACCGACCCATGGATCGGATCGATCGGACGGACGATTTTGGTGTATCCATGCATGCATATGCATGTACCTATGCATATGGCCAGTCCTGATTGAAATTAAAATAGGATTAAAATTGGTTGATATCGAAATGCGGAGACTGCCTAAACTAGAAACCTTTTAGCTAGTGTAACGGAGGATTTTACTAGCTAGGCAGTTGCTCCTTCTCTCCATCGCTGTTGTTGTATTAATTAAGACGCAACTTCGATCCCTGTGCGACTTCAGTATTCGTTGCAGTTCATTACAGTATATTGATTAACACAACATGGCCGCCCAGTCCAAAGAGCTCAGTTCGACAGGCAGCTACTCCTCCTACCCGCCCAAACTCACCCTCTGGGAGAAGCTCACCCTGTTCCGCAAATTGCTCATCACCCTCGCCTCTATCGTCTACCACGGCATAGCGGGCCTCTTCCGCGGCGCGTCTGGCGCAAAGTCGTACCGGCTTCATGTCGGGTATGCCGTGATCAGGAACCTTGTGAAGAGGTTGACGTGGAAGGAAGTGCAGTAAGCATAGCCTGAGGAAGACCTGTGATTTTTTTTTCTTTTGAATATCGCTGATATGATTTGTCAGATACCTGAACCCCCCAACCGCCAAGGCGTATAAACTGGTCGCCAGAAAGAGAGGCTTCCAGCCCGAAATTGTCACTCTGAATCACGGCGCGCAGGGCTTCTGGATTGGGAGCAAGGATGCGAAGAATGTCGTCGTTTACTATCATGGTATATACCCTCGTTCACTGCTTCTTTCTAGAGAAGTAAGCTGATGAATATGTCTGTCAGGCGGAGGGTTCGAGCTGCCCGCAGACAAGATGCACTTCCACTTCTACGCAAAGATCGTCAACCACTTCAACAAGGCGCAGAACAACAGGCTCGCATTTTTCTTCCTCGGCTACACCCTGACTCCCCACGCGTCCTATCCCACCCAGCTCCGCCAGTCCGTCGAGGCGCTGCGACACGTCCTGGCCACGCAGCCCGACCGCTCCCCCTCCAGCATCTTCCTGGGAGGCGATTCTGCCGGCGCGAATCTCGCGCTCGCCGTGCTGCTGCATCTGAGCCGTCCGCACCCGGAGATCGACCCTCTTCCCCTTCAGCAGCCGCTGGGCGGCGTATTCACCCTCGGCGCCTGGGTCAGTTTCCGGTTGGATTTTCCCTCTGCGGAGACGAATCGCTACAAGGACCTCACGGGCCGGCCGCATGGCGCGAGATGGTCCGCAGCGTACCTCAACGGGAAGCCCGGCGATGCGTGGAACCAGCCGCTGCTCGCGCCAGCGGAATGGTGGGACCGCAGCAAGGTAAAGGACGTGCTGTTCCTGGTCGGAGGGGATGAAGTTCTGCTGTCTGCTGTCGAGGAGATGTACGCCAAGTTCAAGGTGCGTTTATGAGTTTATTTTGAAAACGTATTTATGGGCATACACACATGAAACTGACTATTATGTTCACGCAGCCTGCTGTCCCAAACAGCACCTTGGTCCGGGGCGCGAATGAAGGCCACGTCGCTCCCGTCTTCAATCCTGCCATTGGCGTCAAGGCCGAAACGCAGCAGGGAAGGGCGCTGAAGGAGTGGCTTACCGCGAAGCTGCTGTAGAAGTTATGTACGTACGTACGTAGTCGATACCGAGTTCTGACCTTGACTACCCTTGATATCCTTACGGTTGTGCTCGTTTACATGGATGATATTAATATAGTGCTTTGAGTCAGTAACATTCCTAGGTAGTAAATAATATTAATATGCAATTCCTCTACGCAACTGCAAAAAGACGATCAATAATTCGCTGGAATGAGATGAAGTGAAACGAAATGAAACGAACTTAACTGAATGGAATGAACGGTCGGTCAGTTAGTCAGTCTATTATTAATTCTATTATACTATTCTATATTCTATATTATATATTATATCTAAAAATATATCTCAAAAAAAAAGATTTTTTCCCCCATCGAATCTAAGGAGCGGTCTCATTGCCGTAACGAGGTATGGTATGGTATGTATGTATGAAGTCATGAAGATATCGATCGATCGATCAATTGATTGATTGCTTGCGCTCATGTGTTCTGTATGACTAGGACTTGTCGTCGCGCGCTACAGCTTCCTGCCTAGCTTCTCCTCCACTGCAGCTTTCAGTTCCTGCGCGTTCGGCATGCTCACCGTACTCCCGTTCTTGCGCATCTCCTCGATCTACCTCGCGATCTCGCGCACCGCGTCTTCGACCTCCTTCTCCGGGTCTCCCGGCAGGCCGAGCATCGGCTGCTTCTGCGCGGCCGATTCCTGGTTGGCTTTCTGCGGCGGCGTCGGGGACGGCTGGTTCCGTTTCTTCAGCTGCCGGATGAGAAAGCCCTTGGCCGGGCTGGCGAAGAAGATGACTGCCGCCGCGACGGCGACGATACCGTAGAAGTAGACGTGCGCCCATACGTGGATCGTGTCGTTGAAGTACAGGATGAGGAACGGTATCACGGTGAAGGAGAGGATGAGTTGCGTCGTCAGCCAGGAGACAAAGTCGTAGTATGGTTTCAAGGGAGTGGGCTTGGTGCCGTCCGGGGTGAGGAAGAAGGGTCGCACGTGTCGTCGGAAGTCTTCTACTATCAGCAATAAAGTCCAATAGGTGACTGATGACTGGGGTAACGGGGCTTACTCTTCGCAACTGTCTGCACAAATGACGCCAGAATGAACGTCAGGTAGTATCCCGGGTAGAAACCGTGCCAGAATGCACTCGTCGTAAACGTCGCCAAGCTCGCTCGGAACCCAGGCTTCTTCCCCTTGGGCGTCACTCTCAGATAGACGTAGTTCCTCAGCCAGTGGTTCGTGTTCTTATTCCAATTCTCCACGTAACCACGGACATTCTGCGCCGTCTCAAGCCCCCACGGGTTGACATTTTCCAGTCGGTCCCAGTACACCTTGCCTGTCTTCGGGTCAAATCCGTTGTAACCAAGGCCCGACAAGATGCAGGCACCCTCCGTAAGCGCCCAAACGCCATAATACTTGAATCGCGCCACGAATCCAACCATGTACAGTATCCAAATCCGTCTGGGCAAAGAGTACTTCATATATTCCTCAGTGAGGACCGTGCCAGCATGATAGATGGGCCCCAGCTTCAGGAAGGCGAAAATCCACAACAACCCGATAATCATCTTCTTCAGTGCCGGCCGTCCGCTGCGTGGGATCTTTCGCTTCTTCCGCGTCGGCGGAACCTTGGATGGATCCGTCCCCGGAGGCACGTCGAACAGGGTCGTCTCAATCCACCGACGGTAATCGACATACTCAAAAGCGGGCCCAGCGAAGAGGGACGGGAAGAAGAGAACGTAGCCCGCATAGTCGAGAATATCCGGGAACTTGGTGATGGCAGCGTACTTCTGGGCATCCGAGAGCTCGCTCTGCGGCAAACGGCCGTCGTGGACGTTCCAGCAGAATGCAGACAGCTTCATGACCAACACCATCTGCGCCCCGGTAATGTCGACTATCGAGTCATCGTTGCGAATCTGCCGGTAGATGTGGCTCACCGACATGTGTCCCATCAGAAAGACAAACCCAATCCAGGGCATCAGGGAGCCGTCCACATAGTAGGCGATCAAATACGTGCCCACGGCGCTGTACAGCAACGTGCGCACCCCGTCCCACAGATCAAACAGTCCGACCAGGTAAAAGAGGGACACGGCCACGATGAATGCGTTCTTCTTCCATGGTTGCCCGTCCGGAATTCGTTTGAGGATGGCCGCCAAAGGGTACGACAACAGGAATGACGCAACTAGCTTTACTGTTCAGGGCAGCTGTTAGCGGAGTTCTTTTACTTTTTTGGGGGCTTTTCGACGAAAGATCGTACGCTCATCGACAGAGGCCCCCGTCAGGCCAGCAAGATAGGAGAACGCTGCACCGAGACAAGAGAACAGTCAGCTGCTATTCTGAATAACAAGACACCGTGGCATGAGAGTTGGGAGACGAACGGACGTTGATGTACGGCAGCATGGTGGATGGCAGCCGCAGGACACGCGTGCGTTGCCAGGCCGATCAAAAGGCAGACATTCAGGAAGGAGCGAAAAAAGAGAAGCTAAAAATAATAAAGAATAACAGACGGAGGAGCGTGGACATGAAATAAAATAAATAGGCGTGCTGGTCGAGCGAAAAGCGCAGGCCGCGGCCAGCGGGGCCTGAATGCACCACGGAGAGCAAGCTATGCCATCATGTGCCTGGCTAAGCTGGCTGACCGCCACGCCTGACCAGATCAGCAGCTTCCTGCAACCCAGCAGATCCCCACCCTGCGCTCCATCTCCTCTCTCACCAGAATTAATTATTAACCCTGAATTTGCAATCACCGCCCTTGCCAGCGACAAGTCCCCGTCGTCACCTCCGCCGTCGCCCTCGCGGCTTCGTGGGCGCATCATTCCTCCATCATGGACGTCGTGGCCGCCGTCTCCGGGTACATCTCCCGGATGGTGTCTGTCGGGGACGCGTCCACGCCAGGCTCATCTTCTGCCAAGATGAAGATCCTGCTTCTTGATAGTGAGACAGTGGGCGATGCGTTCTGCTCTCCTCACCGCGCGCGTGCTGACGGCTGCTGCAGGTCCCCATTGTCTCGACCGCAATCACCCAGTCCGCCCTTCTCAACCATGAGGTCTACCTGATCGACCGAATAGACAACCAGTCGCGCGAGAAGATGCGACATCTGCGATGTCTCTGCTTCGTGCGTCCCTCGCCGGATTCGATCCAATTCCTGATCGATGAGCTCCGGGATCCGAAGTACGGCGAATACTACCTGTATTTCAGCAACATCGTCCGCAAGTCGG